GCGGGTCGATAAGAGCAGGAACGTGATCCTCCCTGGGAAGCTCGTCTTTCGCTTAACCTCCGCGCATACCTTTCGGCACTAAAGCGGAGAAAGTATCAAAGTGAACGGTTTACAAAGGAACTTCGGCAAAGCTTTGTCAAGTTCCTTGACTTCTTCAGTTGAGCAACCGCGTAGTCGTTGAACAAAAAAAATGTAACAAAAGTTTAATCAATACCGAGTCGACGTCGGCGGATTGTACATGCGTGTCGCAAAAGCTTTTCCGATATGAAGAATGTTCACAAATCACTTGATCGCGGAATGAGAAAGAAATTATTCAAATCCGCCTGAACGATATACCCAAGAGGTCTTTTTTTTTTCCCTGTAAATAAAAAAGAATCAAGTGCCTCAGTTACCACGTTGCAAAGCCGGAGAGAGAGTCGTCAGGGCTAAGGAAATCGCAACAATTGCAACACCCGATAAACGTGAAATTCTACGAGTCTGTATTTTCACCAGTTTCATTTTGAAACGTGATTTTAGGAAAAATTAATCTCACATCAGATGCATTCGCAACCCCTCTTCGGCACCAAATAACATAATTTTTTTATTTTGATTATTTCTGATCAGTCATAAGACAGACTCAAATTATCCGAGGCGAAGAAAAGGGTATCAAAGGATTTTTTTTCGATGAAAAATGGATTTTCCGCACTTATGTCGAGTTTGCGGGAAAATACAAGCCTTCGCATAACTGTTCAAACGTTTAAACGGATGTACTAATTTAGTTCCTTTTTGATTCCCCAATCTATCTATATTTCTAATAATTGAATGTACAAAACCGTATAAAGGTAACATTTCTTCAACACTTCTGTAGATGATGTTACACACTCATAAAATGGGAATTATCGGATCGTGGCTCGTACGTTTTCGAATTTAAGAAAAAAAAATTATGACAAATTTTTAGTAATATCGATTTAACTTAATTCTTTAAACGAGGACTTTATTGAAATAATTAAAATACATTTTTAAAGTTGTGATTTTAATAGTGATTACAAAAAAAGTCAGTGGTTTCTTATTTTTTCAAAGAAATCATAATTTTTAATCAACTCTGAGCCCAAAACATCAGTATCCTCCGTGTAAGGACATTTCATGGGGGAAAAAAAAAGAAGAAGAAGAAGAAGAATTAATAATATCTAATAAGTCGAATCGAAGATAACGAGTTTCAGGGCCTAGCTCGAACAATTTAGAATACCGTAGTAATGGAATATTACAGAGTCAGATGGGAAAATGTGGTAAATACTTTCACCAACGATTGCAAGGGAATGCTGGCTTGTCCTGCGGCTAACACGTGTTTTTAGAGCAAAAATTTAGTTGCAGCTAATAGTCACAGATGGCGACGTCGATTCGTCAAAATATAAACAGTCATGAATTCATGGGATTTTGGCAGTTTTACATCGATATTTTAATCACTACTTTACCAAAATGACACATAGAACCCTTCAGTTCGTGTAATTCCCAACGTAGACTGTAAAAGACTCCAACCTAAACATAAGTGTCGGTAATGGGACGCGCCAGCTTATGTTACCACTTGAGTATTCAAAACGTCATTACCACCAAAAAGGATATAGATGAATTTTACTTAATCGATGTCGATTAAATTTCTTAGCGCCTTTCGTATCCTCTTAACGCCTCGAAGTCGAAAGAATAATTACGAACCGAGAAGGAAAACGATCGCTTGGGGATCGAACATCTGCGAATCGTGTTCGCGAATTGTTCGGGCTCGAGAAAGCTGGTGAACGATTGGCCAAGGCAATCGTGACTACGCGCTCCCTAGAATCATCCAGTTGACGATCGCTTACTCCTATTGTCACGGTTTAAGTAACGCGGATTGTTCGACGGCCGCATTTGAAAGCATCAAGCCGTGGCGGCGAGCTGCGCCTTCCGTGCTTAAAATCCGTGCAAAACGTGCCAGAAATTAAAAGGCAAAGCGCGGGCAATCTCGTCCGAAGATCTTTCTCTCCACGTAGTTCTGATCAGCTGTTTCTGCGTCAGCTCTCACAAGAGCGAGCGTATGCAGAAATTCGCGCTCGCGAGTGCGTATACTTATCCTACATGTACGGAATAGTACTTATGCGGATAAAAGGACGGGAACAATGAAGCGTGCATACATACGTACATATATATATATATATATATATTCCTATTTCGCGGGAGAAAGTGACCGGCTTGCTAGACCATGTGCTCGTTTTACAAATTTTTAATTGCTCTTTTGGAGAGGGAGATTTGGATCAACCGTTTCTCGCGTATGGTCGCCGGCTATCGATCTGTTCGATTTAGCACGCAATGACGAAAGAAATGTTCAAAAAGTTGTGATCAGGATCAAACATTGCTTCAGCATTGGCAGAAAAGAAGGGAGATTAATTCTCGATTGGTTTCCTCTCTTTGCTTTAGACACGTTTTAGGTGAGAACCACGGCAGGTAGTTTGCAACGGAAAGCACTACCTGGATGTGAATAAATTTCAGGGTACATGGGATTAGTTTTCTTACTACGAACATTTAAGAAGTAAATAGTAGAATCGGTGCTTTTCCCGATCCACTTAGGATCCCTGCATCTTGAAAATTTTTAGGTAGTTTGACCATCTCAGGAACGGATGTTAAATTACACACGTGGCGCCACCTCTCGCTCGCTGCGGTAAACCAATGGTCGAGCTTCAACTCGGCCACGATAAATTAAATCCATAGAGTGGAATTCAATGCCCGAGAACCAGCGTGGACGCATTGGTACCTTCCATGAACTGCAAGGTGGCGCCAATGTTCGCCAATGATAGATAACATTTATTACCCGGACACGGAACTATCGTCGTATTCAACACTGCAACTGCATTCTATGATTGAAGCATCGACGGCTATTTTTTAACTTTTCGATCTTACCGCTTCGAAACTTTATTTATTTATTTTTTTTTTTTTCAATGAATCGAACTCCGACGGTTGGATGAGTCAGTAAAACAGAACTAGAAAGCAACACGTGATACCTTTTGATGTCGATTAATCGTCATCACGTGATGTTAAAACGAGTACAATGCTCCATCGATGGACTTTAAATAGAAAAAGAGATCGCACAATAGGTATGTGGAATATTTTCAAAGAACATGAATTATAAAACACAATGTACACGGTAAGCTTTGAAAAATCATTAACAAGAAACATCAACCCGAACTTTATGGCATTTAGTGGTTAAAATCCAGATTAAATTATAAATGAATTGTTTATTAGAAATATATCCTACACCAGACAAAAAATCTCTTATTATAAAAAAAGTCGGATATCGTTTATAGTCCCTAGATATTCAAGTTGCAAGAATAAAGAGTACTATTCCTTTATCCATTTCCCGGATTTTCAATGCTTCAATGTCTCCATTTAGCCCGATAACATTCAATGGTCCCTGTTTTTAAAGCATTAAACTAAATCCTTTTCATTTTGAGACCATTATTTTTCTTTCTGTAATAAATATTTAAATAACGTAATTAAAATAACGGTTTATTAATTATGAATACTTTCAACTTTGTGAAAATTGTAACAGATTTCATATTCTCAAATTTATAAAGCACGAATGGTTCATTCATTTTTCTCGTGGTTTTCCTTTGTTGCATTGCATATCTTAGCATTTAAAAGCCATTGAGCAAGACGTTTCTTTTTAAGCGGATCGGCGATCGGATAAGCTCATTGCCTTGACGACCGATACATCAGCCATACTGCATTACCGACCGAATACAACAACCTCATACCATCCCAAATGCACGAATGGTTTAGATGTTACGATACTCCGATGCGCAGTAATATTATTTATATAAGTGGGTTCCTGTGGCGGGTAGCAACATTATATATGCTCGGAATTCCTACCCGTTCGCAGTATCGTGTTATCGGCATTGTCACGGGAAACTCCGTGCGACGGCGTGGTCATACAAAGTAAGGACAGAGGGACGTTGTAATTGTCCGACGCTGATTAAGGAATGTCAATGAGAGGAGAGATCCAAGGGAGAAAGGAGATGTTCAAGAGAAGATCGTACAAGTCCAAGGCGATGATAGAACGAAACCGCATGGATTTGCGTAGGAGGCTACACCTTCGTATCATGCCTAAAAACAGATTGAACAAAGACGGATCTGGAAATGAAATATTGCACATTGCAGAACCTAACAACGTATGCTTTATCGATCCTTCGCATATTGGCGATTACTTCTGAAGAATATGTTTTTCACAAGGACTTCTATTTATTGCAACAAGGAAAACCAGCGTCTTATTCGATCAATGCCTGTAACTACTGCTCTGAGAAACAAAGAATAATAACAAAAGAAAGCTACGAGTAGTATCTCGTAAGTAGCGCAGGACTTATATAGTTACCCTTACTTTTGTCGTCACGATTTAATACTATTTACGACAACTAAAGAGGCTTGGTATGTGTGCAATCCGTATGTTCACATAATAATATACCATAATTCAATAAAGAATTAGGAAACATTCAAGCTCTGAATTACGATTCAAATCAATTTTCTAAAGTCTACGATACTTTGCAAACGTTAAGTTCTAAACGCATAATTCCAGTTTCAGGTTAACACGAATATTTTATAATATTTATGATGTACTTGTCAAACAATAGAAAAAAATATATTTAACAAGAAAATGACATACCATCCATGAAACGTAGCCTCGAAGGAACCGAAAAGAAAAATCAGCATCGAATCGTGTTTCTCAACTAATGGTTCCGGTAACATCAAAGCAACGATACACATGCGATCAAAACGATTCCTCAGGAGAAACACAATGTTTCCATCGAGACCAATTCTAGCACCAAACGGTCTCGACAACTGGTATTTTCATGGGATGCACAAGATTACTCGATACCAACCTAACCTAAAAACAAGTCCCTGCTAACGAGTCGTCAGTTTCGAGGCAGAACACCGTCCGACAGAGCTCAGAAGCGATAAGCACTCGTGGGAGAGATAAAAAAGCAAGTTTGGGGTGAACTTACCGGCATGCGGCACGTAACGCGTGGCGTTGGCGACGACGACGTTGTAGGCCTGTGGCGAGTGGGACACGCCGGGCTGGTTGACGTTGACGTTGACGACGTGCTGTTGTTGCGGGGGCGGTGGGGGCGGCTGCTGCGGATGGTGTACTTGCTGTTGCTGTTGTTGCTGTTGTTGCTGTTGTTGCTGCTGCTGGTGGGGGTGGTGCTGGTGGTGATGGGACGGATGGTGGTGCTTACCCTTGGTCGGCATGCTCATCGCAGGCGTGCGCCACCCTTCGAGCTATCCGCTACGTGGTTCGAACCTTGGCCCGCACGGCTCGCCGCAGCCCTCATAGGGACGTAATGTGTCACGGGGACGAGGGAAAGACTCGGTGCGAACCTCTTCGGCCAAGAGGGCCTAACCTGGAGGGCGGTCGTTCTCGAGGCCAGTCTTCGAGAGTCGGACGAGGCGACAGGAACTCGCGCTCGTGCGCCCGTTCCGCAGATCTCGCTGCACGCGGGACGCGAATCGGCTCCTCGAGGTCTCCGCCGTTCGTGCCGTGGATGAAGCCGGTCGATCGATCTCGATCGCGGGCGAAAACGGCCTTACGTCGCGCCGACGAAACAAATCGGGCCTCGCGGTCACTCACGCGCTCTCACGACACGCCACTCAAACGGGAACGCGACACTCACGAGACCCATCAAACGCTCCCCGCTCGCTCGCTCCCTTTCTCCCCGAGCGAGATTTAATCCTCCGTTAACTGCTCGGGCTCGACAAACAGCGGCCGGCTTGTTTTTGCCAGAAAAAAAAAAAAGACGTGCACTCCAGAATACCCACGGCAGCACGCCTCTTCGTCACAAGTCGCACTCACCTCTGCGCCGCTCTTTGCACGGCTCTCCACGGCTCTCCACGGCTCTGCACGCCAGACGAGCGGCCTTGCCAACTGAACGCCCGCCAATCCGAGCACGCGATAACTCTCGAGATCGTGATTGGTACGGCTGGCTATTACCAGCGTCCTCTCGAATGCGCGCGCGTCGACGAGGCTAGCAACAGGCGTTGGCGCTTCCGCGCGGCGATTTCATTGGCGGAGAGGAAACAAACTAGCTACTACTTCAAAATACTTCTTTCAGGTAACCGAAGGTGTTGCAGCCAGTGTTTTTACATTCTCAAGAATTTAAATTCAACGAATATAACCGAGAATGTTACGATAATTAATAAATCCCTGGAGAATTTAAAACCATCTAAGAGAACTCGGAATATGCATTTGAATTAATTTACTAAAAATAATGTTTTACTATTAATACGTAATATTTATTAAGTCAAGGCACTTTTTATAAATAGTGTCCCTTTAATTTGTGACTCCTTCCTTGATTGCGATAATTTTCTATTTTCGCAGTTAGTCTTGCCACTCTTAAGCCTGGTTCCACAACTTGAGTTAACTATAGTTTAAGGCCCAGTTCCATAACTCGAGTTAACCGGAGTTTAAGTGGTTTACAGCAGAGATGAGTAGGATGATTGCTTACGGGCAGGATCGGCGATCGCATCCTGTGCCGCCCTCTGGTTTCGTACGTTAGTTTTCATCGATTTTTGCTCCCAAGGGCGGCGCAACGAATTTCTGGTAGAGGCTCGCGCACTCGTGACGGCGGTGCAATCTGTCAGTCGCCATTGGCGGCTCACGTACTCGTGATGGTAATACCATGCGGCAATTGACGGAGGTGGCTTACTACGCGTACCGAACTGCTCTTTTTGATGGGGAGTGCTTTTATAACCCTGTCCGTGAACAATCTCCCAACTCACCTCTGGTTTACAGCAGATTTAAACCGCATACAAATCGAGTCGTGGAATCGGGTCTAACTGGTTTACATCCAGTTTAAACCCGTTAATCGGAGTTTAATTGGTTTACAATAGGTCGAATAGGATGGAAATCTGTTAAACATCGGTTAACTCAAGTTGTGAAACCGGGCCTTATTAATTCGATACTTATAAATTCAGCGTTTAAAGCGCTAATGGCCACGTCTTCATCGTACTCGAAATTTAGGATTTATCGGGTTCAAACCCAGTTAATCCAAATTTAAGTGTCGATCAAGATATTCAGAATCGAATCAACGTATTTATTAATACTGTGGAGATACGCGATTTACTGGATTCGGACCCGATAAATTCCAGATTGAAGAATACGATGGAGATGCAGTTAACGGAAATGTAGTAAATGAGAAAGAAAATTAGAACCCTTTAATCCCATTTTTATAACGCATTCGGATAATTCTCATTTTATTCCTTATTGGCTTGTTCCAATATGTCCAGCCAAAAGCGCAAGCTTCAAAATGGCTCTTCGAGGTCATGTTCTCAATTAGGAAAATTGTTTTAAATTAAACGTTAGCGATACATTTAATACATTAATTAAAGCGTTCGTATCTATTGACAAGAAATAATGGAAATTTGCCATTTTTGCGATTAGATCGGGTAAAATAAATGTTGCGAACAATCGTTCATGAGGATACCGCATAACATTGGAAGGGGTTAAATTAAGAAGACCACATATACAAAATATCTTTTAAATTCACGACAATGGCACTTTTCCAGCGTCTTTAATTCCTTTATAAATACGTTTTGCGGCCATTAGAAATCGATTAACTTCTCTCCGAGCCTGTACCGAACCCGGGGCCGCAAGCTATAATATACGAGCGTTACGTGAACGTCACATCACGCCGTCTGTACACGATCTTGTACAACATTTGATCTTATACCTCTCAAAGATGAAAATAAAATTCGACAAGCCAATTCCGTCCCCTTACGGTCCCTAGTCTCCATAATCTATTCCATAGTCTCTCCTACACAATAATCTGCATGGAATGTAAAGAACCACGTCCAGTTCTTTACTAACGCGTGCTCGGAACGGAGCACTGAATCCGTCGAGAATCAAATAAACGATAAAAAGTAATAAAGGTGACCACGGTCATTCGAATCGTCCTTCGAAATCTCGTTTCGCCTCACTTCCTCGTGGCATCCACCGTTTCCGGGATGACCCACTCGACCGCGGTTTCGGCTGCTGCGCGGCTGCGAGATCAATGGGTGGAAAGTCGTAAGGAAATTCGCGGGGGATGAATTTCGTGATGGTTTAATAAGTAAATCGTTCCGCACGGTGCCTCTTCTCCCGCTATACATGGAGCAACGTGGCGGCCGATGGAGGGCGAGTGCGCCGTCCGGGGCAGTCCGGGGCAGTCCGGGGCAGTCCGCGCTCGGCTCCGCGCCGACCTGGGGGCGCGGCCGCGGAAGAGGACCGGACTGGAATGCAAGGGGTGGTTCCTGGCCAACGGGGTGGCGTGCGCCTCAGTAGTTCTCCCGGGCCCGGCTGGGCCGATTCTCGCGGTCGCCGTCGCGTGGCCTGGGCCTGCCGCCGGGCCCGTAGCTGTTCCTCGACATGCCGTTGTCATTGGGCGGAGGGGCCCGGTTCATGGCCCGGCCGGGCCCACCTTTACCGCCGTTCCCATAGCCGCAGAAACCTTGGGACTGGGCCTGCGACTGGGACTGACCGGCGGGATTGGGGCCCCGGAAGTTAGGCCCGAAGCCCGGGCCCGGCCGGTCGAAGTTCGGCGAGTTCCTCGGGTTGTTGCCACGGAAGTTGGCCGGGCCCTGGAAATTCCCGCCGAAGGAGGGGCCCTGGCTGGACGCGAACGGGCCCAAAGGGCTCGGCCGGAAGTGCTGGTTGGGCCCGAAGTTGCCGTTGGGCGGCCTAAAGTTCGGATTGGGCCCGAAGCCTCCAAGGGACGGCGGTGGCCCGTTCGGACCGAAGGGGCCCGGGGGCCCGTGGGGTCCCATGGGCGGTCGGTGCATCATGGGCCCGTCCATGGCATTGGGGTTGCCCTTGCTCGGGTGCGGCACCATGCCCGGGGGCGGCATGCCTCCTCGGTGGTTGGCCAAGTTGTTGGCCATGTGCGGCGGTGGCCCGTGCGGGCCTCCCATGCCCATTCCCATTCCCATCCCCATACCCATTCCCATTCCCATTCCTATACCCATCCCCATTCCCATACCCATGCCCATACCCATGCCCATCCCCATGCCCATGTTCATGGGCATGCCATCGCGCTTGTCGTAGCTGTTGCTACCGCCGAAGCCGTTGCCCTCCAGGGTCCTGGAGCCGTCGTCTGAGTCGTCCTCGTCATCCCATCGAGACCTGCCGTCCCGGTCTCGCTCCGAATACGAGTCCATTCCCCCGCCGTCCATGGCGTTCTTTTTCTGGAGGAAGGCCCGTGGCAGGATCATCTGCCTGAAGTCCTTGTCGCCGTAGCTGGTTCTACCGTCGGAATCGGAAATTCTGCCGGCGAACCGCAGATCCTCGTCCCCGCCCCCGCGACCGGCTCCCCGGGGATCGCCGGTCAACCTTCTCAGGTCCTCGTCCTGTGAGGAGCCGAAGGCGTCCCCATAGGGCCCCGACTTGCCGCTTCCTATGCCGTACCGCAAGTCGGTGTCACTCGACTGGGAGTCCTCGGCCATCGCGCCGCCAAAGACCGGCTGATGCATCTTCGAGGTTCTGTCGCTGGCCCCGCCGTCACTCCAGCCGATCAGCTGGTCGAACTTCCGCTTGCCGCCGCGGTTGAGCGTCTTCAGGAGCTCCGGATTCTGCGCGAATTTCGAGCTGGGCAAGGGTGGCGGTAACTCGACGTCCGGGACCTTCGAGTAGTCGATCTCGCCCTCGTCCTGGAGGTACTCCTCTGTCTCGTCGGGCACCTCGTCGAGGTCAACGACGTCCCGCAGCTCCTCGATCTCGCCAGAGTGTACGAGCTTGTTGATAGCGTCGTTCCCCTTGACGATGGCATCGGCCAACTTCGAACCGGCTGCAAAAGAAGTCGCGTCAGCACTTATATCCAACGCGAAGACTCATCGGGCGCCATCCTTTGCTTACCTTCGACCGGGATCATCTTTCCGTACAGGATAATGGCATTAGGCGTAACCTCGTTGAGCGGCACCGCGCCCGGCGTCGTCTCGATCAGCTGATTGACGAACGCGTTGAGCGCCTCGACTTGTTCGAGGTCCTCGGCCTCCATCTCGTTCCACTGTGCCTGGAAGTTCCTGGGGATGGGCTTGCTGTAGGGTACCTTCTTGTTGGCGAACTTCTTGCCCTCGTCAACCGCGTGGTCCAGGTCGAGGCCGGGGATGCCGCCGCTCTTGTCCTCCGGCTCGCCGTCGGCATTGATGCGGTCCTCCGGGCCCATTCCTGGTATCACCGCCGTATCGTCCGCTGTGGAAACGATTCGTGGTTATGGCCACTCTCTCTCAGGATCCTGAATGCTTCCACACCTTCCATCTTACCTATCTCGTGGTCGTCGACTCCTGCCGCTCCAACCGGCAGAGTGTTCAAATTGTACTTGTCTCGCATCAGATCACCCGGCCGGTTTCTGGTCCAGAACTTGGAGGTATGATCGTTGCTACCCGAGCAGAGAATGTGTCCTAGGGGATGCCATGCCAGCGTCCAGACGATGCTGTCGTGGGCCTGCTCGATGGCCCCTACCTCCTTGTCGGCCCTGCTCATTGTCATTGATTAGTTTTACAACTCGCAATTACAATCGACTGATTCTCACGTCGCAATTAGTTCGGCACTTATGTAACATCCACATACGGCTTAGTACGGGGATAGTGTAGAACTTAGTGACGGAAGTTTGTGACATGAATTCCAATAAGAGCGTTCACAACCTGATAGTGCGGTTGGTAATGGTGCTGGAAAATTTGTGCAGTCTCCAAACTTTCTTGTTCGATGCATTACCAAGGCGAACGGAACAACCAATCGGAATTCATCGTTAATCTGTACTGCATCACTGATTCACCTGTCGCCATATTGCGCTACACACCTGTTTTTGAACGATCAGAGGGAAACAGAGAGAAAGTGTCCCTTGTTTTCTGTCTCTCAATCCTTCTTGAGGATCTGCACATCCTACGTCCACAGCCCGAACTGATACATGTTAGACAGGGTGAATCCACCTTTATCGAGCGAATGCACTAATTAAAAGTCACCTCCAGTCTTTGCTGTGTCACTGATTCGTTGAAGCCGCTCAATGACTGCGTCACCAATTTGAACTCTAGCTCTGCCCTATCACTGCACGTCTCCCTATCCCTGGGTACCAAGTCGTATGTGAAAGATCCATTAGCTTGGGCCTTGAATTCAGAGTTCTTACCCAACGTGCCAGAAGAGGATGGCGCCGTCGCTGCCGCCGCTGCAGAAGAGGCCCTCGTGGTTCGGGTGCCAGGCCACGCTGGAGGCTTCCTTTTTGTGCCCACGGAAGGTCTGCACCTCCTGGCTCAGGTTCCTGAGGTCGAACAACTTGAGCAAGTGGTCGCGCGAGGCCGTCACCAGCCAATTACCGTTCTCGTTCCACTTAACGTCCATGACGGTCGATTTATGGGCGTGAAGGGTCGCCAGCGATTGTCCGGTCTTCGGGTCCCAGAGCTTCACCGGCTGCTGGTTGTCCTTGCTGCCCGAGATGACTAGACTCTTCTGGGGGTGCCAGTGGACGCACTTCACGTCCGCACCGTGACCTGGGGCAAACAGTTCGCGTTAATTCTGCCTTCCCCGCAGCAGGGGTCGGTATCCCCGCGTCGTCCGTACTCGAGTCGTTCCCTGGGTCGTCTAGACACTTTTGGTATACCATGAGTGATTACTCATGATGCACTTGAGGTCCTCGGAATAAGAATACAGTTAGATCCCAGACCGTTCTCGCAATATTGTGAACATTTAATTTGGAAACATTTTTTCCAGTTAAATAATTTAATTAATTTTTAAATCCAATGTCGATAAAATGGAGAACGGCCCAATGCAGCGGAAGACAGCAGTTTCTGTTATTCCCGAAAGTTGCCGGTTCGTGGATGGCATTATTCTAAGGAGTCAAATGGCGTAATCGATGCTACATTTTTTTTTGTTAATTAGATGAGCACGTTGCATAAGGCCTTTTACAGGAGTTGAAAAAAGGTTCGGTTCAAATTCATACAATACTTGCAAAAAAAGCTACGCCACCTAAAAATCAGTCACGCACACGTGATAACAACATATGCCGTTTAGCATAATGAAAGGAGACTCTTATCAGATTTTGGCAATTAAAAATAGTTTTTAAGCCAAAATCGAATCACTGTCTTGTTACATTATTCTAAATAATACATGCTTGTCACCGACTTGCAGGATTTTCATTTAGGTGTAGTGATTTTTTTTGGAGCGTATTCACGACTTGCCACGATAGCGATAATTGATTGGAACTGCTGTCTCCTCTAACGTACCGACAAGCGTTGTCGACCTTGGAGGTATGCTTCGGGCCCCTGGAGGTCCAGACCTCGGAGATGTCCTTCGGGCCCTTAGAGGTTCGACCTCGAAGGTGTCTTTAGGACCTCGGTATGTCCGGACCTCGGGAAGTCCCAACCACGATGTCCTTAGGACCTCGATAAGTCCCGACCTCGTGTTGTTCGTGGGGGGTCCTCGAGTACGGACGAAGCGACCGCGAGTCGTTAGGAAAGATCGTCGATTTACCCCTGAGAATTCGCTCCTCGTGACACCGCAAGAAGTCCCAGATTCGCACCGTTCCATCGTCGCTACAAGTGGCCAGCTTGTGGTCCGTAGGGCTGAAACTACCCGTCGAAAAAGACAAGTTACACACCACGATGCGAATGCGAAACCGGCGACCGAGTCGAGCGCCCGGAAGAGGTCTAAGTATCTCGCTAAAGCTTTCGGAGGTTCTCTTCGGCCCTAACGAATCTACTAAACGAAACGATCGGTTCTTCGCGCTACTTGTTTTTTACGTCGGATCCGAGCACCGAATTCGTGTAAGCTTCGCGCGCAAAGTCAGAGCGAATGAAATCCAGGGTGATTTTCTTCCCCGATAACCAAGAAGTGCCTGTTTCGACATGCCCTGCTATCTAACTCTCAAGACAAATCGCTATAATTTTGCGTTCAAATATCAACAAGTGAATGAAAGTTTAAAGAGCTCGGTCCCTTTCCATACTTTCCTCCATTTACTAGGGGTCGCGTGATACGTACTACTCGTGCAAGTATTCGTCAACCACCGACAGGAAGCGAACCAATAGATCTATTATTAATCGGAAAATTATCTAAGTCACGCGAGTTCGCCCCGGGACGAATAATACAATCGATTTTCAGAAACACCTCGCAAAGCGGACGAGAACCCAGCGCAAAAATTCGACAAACAGAACACCTCGGAGAAAAATCACAAAAGCCGGACTTCCCTACGTCCAACTAAAATTTCGAATAAACTCTTCGTGTCCATCCGGAGCCCTCTCAATTAGTCTCTTAAGGTCGATTTATACTATCGAGTCAGACAAGGTGGGAAAGTAGCGTTAACGTTCCGACACAAGATATATTCATATTATTGATTTAGACATATTTATATTTTAAACTCTAAAAGACATTACAAAATATTCCGGCCGTCAATGCCCGACGGTGGATTAAGAAACTTGTAACATCGAATGATGAGCGACTCAAAGTGTTCGACACGTATCGATTGACACATATTGTCATCGATCCGTCAAAATGTTGTAAAGGTAGATTCACCCCATCTGACTCGTACCTGTGCCGATCCGACAAAACATTGTAAAATATGATTCAATGGCTGTACACATTATTCGAACTGCTTATAGGGTGAACAGTGCCATTGAAACGCATATTACAATGTTTTATCAAATCGGTACCATCACGTGTCGGATCGAATTCGATCTCCTAAATACAGGGCGCGACAGAATTCGTGGCGACGATTTATACTTCGCTATCCTCATTGAAAATGGAGTCGAAAACTCCTGGACACTTTCTTTCTACAGTGCATAGTTTGCCTGTAATAATTAATTGAAAAACAGCGAACCAGACGCGTCGATTAGTGGAACGCGTGTAAGCTGCACTTTGCCGTCCGCGACAGCAAAACAACATACGGGTTGTTCTCCGATTCATGTTCCATTGATCAATGCGCTTGATTGACATTTTTTTTTGTAACAAATTATTGCACTCAAACAATACATATTAACACATTGTTGACCGGCAACTTTACAACGCTAGTCGTTCGGGCACGAGTTAACTCGTGACCGGTAATCAATGTGTCAAAAAAAGATTGTACAGGACTTTTCCCCCCCATCTTCACCAAGAGCGATATTTTAAACTATATATAAACCGTGGCCAAGAATTCGGTCTAAACACGCCTATTAGAAATGTAAGGTAAAAATGTTTGCACTCCCGGAAACGCTACGTTTCCGCGCCGCGTCCTAATAGTATAAATCGACCTTTAACCGAGATCTCACCCTTTTCCCCACTTCCGCTTCTCCCCTCTCAGTGAAACGCTCGGACTTGATTCCAAATCGAATCAGTCCGTCGAAAACGAACGCGAACGAAAAAAAGGGGAAAAAAAACACACAAAAAAAAAGAAAAGTTAAAAAATGTAAAAAAAAATACTCCAATCCCAGTGAATCAAGTTCCGCGAGAAGAGAACGAATTCGCGTGCACCAGCGACCGGCATAAGACGCGCCTTCAATCCGAACAATGGGCACCCTAATCGCGGCAGTGCGAGGGAAACGTTGGAAAATTGGAATCAGGGGATCCGAAGAGCCGAACTAATCGATCCGATCGAAGGGCCGATCGAAGGGGTCTCGCGAGGGTGTCGTTATCGCGTGGAGATTCGCGCGCGATTCGAGGGCCGACCAAGTTTCGTGACCGCGAGGAGGAGCATCCTCGTGAGCGTATCGTGAGCATCGCAAATAAACAAAAAACCGTCTCCGACAGTCATATCTGGCACCGAGTGGTAGAGCGAGGCCCCTCGGAAAGCCGAGGCCCTTCGTAATCGGCGCTTATCACCCCCGCGTGCCACATGACTACCGGAGACTGCGTCAACACTCGCCAGTTTTTCTTCTCTTTTTCCTCAGAAATTGAGCGTTTATTGCACAAAGACCGATCGATGTCGTATATATATACACATGATTCGACGTCTCTTTCGCTCTCCCTCTCTAACATCCTCGCCTCTTCCTCTCATCTCCACTCGCTCCCTCGCTCTCAAGCTCGCACTCTTTCCCCGTCCTCCTCTAACGCTGCAAATGCAAAGAGAGCGCACGGGCGGTACAAACAAAAAAAGAGATAGAGAGAGAGTCGTCCTTTATTCGTTTATTCCTTAAAGAGAGCATGTGATAAGGCGAAGTGTTCTTGGTAAACTTTATTGATAATAAGTACCTGGATGAGATGTGAAAAGGGACAGGATTTGTCATATTTATTTATATATATATCTCTTATATGCACTGGGATATCGTTCTCGACTGGGTGCCGCCATGTTATGTATTTCGTTTGTTCTTTGCCGTTTATTTGGTAATCCTACGAGATATACACATCCTTGCCCAATATCTTAAAATTCCGGCCGTGGAGGCTCCTTCGACGACGACTCGAGCGATGCGAGCGATCGCGCGGACCTCCAGGAAACGACTACACGCGGAATCCGAGGCTTTCCGTTTTTTAACGATCATTCGAGCGGCGACTCGCGATCAGACGACTTCGCGATATCCGACCGCGTCTACGGAGGACAGAGAGGTGGGCGGTCTCGTTACGTCAATCGCGGATCTACCCCGTACAGAATCTCCTGCTTTTCGTACATTACAGATAGTTTCGCGCCTCAACCGGACGGAACGTGTCGCGGGTAAAACGCACGACTGGTGAAAGAAAGAAACAGGGATGAACTGGATCCGAGAGGAATCCGGTGGAAAGACATGGAGACGTAGAGATATAGATCGACTAGCACCCGTTCCCTCTGAGTGGCGTCGACGAGTCCCGGTGCCCCCGGAAACCGACCGCTTTTTACTTTGCGTTTGCATTTCTGGGACCCGAACTTCGAGCACCGAATGCTCTTTCTCGAAGTCCACTGACGGGGTCTACGAGTCATTTCCCCGGTTGCTCGATAACGTTCAACGATTTTCAATGTCGGTCTTTGCTCTTTCGGAGCAGACCTAGAGTCTCGCGTTTTCAACCCGGCTCTACGGTTTCCGGAGGCTTCCTTCTCGTGGACGCGGCCAAATGGACGCCGAGTAATCGCGTCCTCGCGAGTACAGGAGCGCCGCGAGAACGCCGACTTCGACCAAGGGGAGGAACGAAAGTTAAGTAGAGAACCGACCGGCCGCCGACGCAGGCGTTGCGGTAGACGTAAGGACTAGTGTGGTAGATGGTATACCTGAGTCCTCTAATCGCTTCTTTGTGCGCCTGAAACATCTTCACGTTGTTCATGTTGCTCTGCCAGTACTTGACGTAGCCCGCATGATCGCCCGTCACCATCCAGCTTTCGTTGTGTGACCACACCATCGTTCTCACAGGACTGTCGTGAGCCTGGACAAATGAAATGTATTTATTTTCAAGGGAGGAAGTGCGTCAAATGTATGTGTACGCGTTCCTATGGCTTTGGTTTCATATGCAATCTACAGGCCTAAATTTTAAGGAATGATGTTCTTATCTGGCCCATGGAAATGATTTGTTGAGAGAAATGTTTCCAGACAAAGCCATAAGGGTATATAATTTCAAGTCGATGGATAATTATTTTTTCTGGGTGGTTTTAAATATTTAAGGTTCTCTTCTCTTTCGTACCTGTAGAATAGTTTCAAAATTGAACGTAAGGCCATTCCAGAGTGTAAATTCTCCACTGGATGCCCCTGTTACCAGCCGCCTTCCCTCCGGCGTCCAGGCCATGCAGAAAATAGGACAGCGCATCTTATTTGTGGCAGTTTTGACAAACCTCGTCGTCACAGCATTTATTGGGTTATCGACGTAGCTTGGAGGAGGAAGCAGATCGGGGTAATAAATTACATCGGGTTGAAGGGCCCGCCTGTCTCTGTAGTCTCGTTGCCATACCCTGTTCTAAATATTAACGGATGAGTTTTAACATGTCTGTGGTTTTTTTTTATTTTGGAGTTCGAACCAGACTACTTACCTCTAAACTCTTAATTATAGCAGCATTGTAGTCGACAGTCTTTCTCATAACCGACTTTCTTAACCTCTTGCCATCAAATTCATCTTGCAACGAGTCTTGACCACCGGCTATAACTTTGGGAGCATGATACGGCCTAAATGGCTTAAAGAAACCTCTGCTCCCCTCCCTGTGGTTGGAATAACGGTGCTGATAGCCCCCAGAGGTGTTTATCGTTGTCAAATTTGGAGGTGGCGCCGACAAGTTTGGAGTCGACGGGGGAGGAACTGACATGTTAGGGAGACTTATAGGGGGAGGGTTAGCAAATTGTGCATTCGTCGCCATTGCGGGAGCAAAGAAACGACGGGACGAGCTCGTTTTCAAAGATGCAAAAGATTCGCTATCGACGGTGCTTGTAGGAGTCGCATGTCTTTATGGACTGGTGCCCGAGCATCCGTCGTCTTAAAGTCTGCAAGTGAGGAAACATGAAGTCAAACGAGGAAACAGGCTAGACCATGATGTCCCTTCAAGAGTCTAATTTCTTCTTGACTTGGGTACGGTTCGATGTCTTCGTTGCTTCGGTATGGGTGCTTCAAACTGCTTACGGATGGCACAACCTCGATGGTTCTCGTTCGCGCAGCCTTTTGCGACGGAGACTCTGGTCAGTCGAGAACCCACCGTTATATAGGTTAGGCGAGGAACGCATTCGAAGCGAGACGGCGCCAACGCTCGATGCTCCGAATTGCGTTACAGAAAGAAACCGGTCGGCCCAGGAATAGTCCAGAAATAACTGAGAGTACGCTCGGTACGTAAGCTGATATTCCTCGCGAGTTTCTTGAAACTAAGGCACGCACCTAGCCTGTTGGGCCGACGGCGGCCGCGCACACAAACACCGTGATCGCACCCTCGCACCTACGTGCAGGCGACTGCGCGCGAGCACGTCGCGCTAACCATCTACCACTGGCGTCGACGTCGCGTTGGCGTGATCTTTCTCACGTCTCACGAGCCTAGTCGGATTTTCTGAGCACCCTTCGTGAATGCGCAGTAGACGGAATGAACGAAATGCTGGCTGCTAGCGAGAGGAGACCCAACGCGTCGTAGAGCAGGCGACGTGCCGCTACGTCGTTTAACGTTCACGTGTGAACTCCGAGGGTACCGCGGGCATTTACGGAGCAAGAAACCCACGCGTTAACGCTTCGGACCAACTCGAAGGTCAGTGGACTCCAAAGCGACGTTTGGCGACGTCAGTTGGCAACTGTAACGAAACTAACCCGACAGCCGAAGGAAGGGACTGGAAGGGACGACCACGGCTGCGGGTCCGAGCGCGGGCACGAGCGCGAGGAAATCGCACGATCGTTCGTAACGCCATTATAACGGCGGGGCTCGGCTTCCGGTCTGTTCCTGTTCGCAGTTTAGTTGCATGCCGAGAGATGGCGCTGGGATGCACCTCTGTATAGTGTTATTACAGGTTTGTTCGAATTGACTGCACTTTCTATTTCTATATTCTCTATTCTATTCTATCAAATCAATTAGGCCCGATTACTCAACTCAACTTAACTGGAGTTTAAGTAGTTTACAAGAGGTTTAAACCAGATGTAAACCAGTTAAACTTCGATTAATACGAAAACTGCGTTTATACATTTAACAACAGTAGTTATAAAACCGGTATAAGGAAGAATGTGTAAATGCATTCAGTTTTTCTTTCTCTTAGGATTCCACGTTTATGAATATCGCATGTCATTGGTTATTTCCAATGTATTTTACATAACCAATAAGCTGTGAATACAGGATCAGAAATGTTGGCTCAATATTCATATCGACCAATCGTCTATTTCATCGTTAAAGTCATATAACGTTGACATGTAAGCATGCGCAGAATTGATTACTTCTAACCTCGGAACTTTTAAAATGATTTTATACATTATATTTTCTGTGTTATGCAGATAGAACACGGAGTACTGTATACTTATGGTGTCATTATGTTCTATAATTTTCAGATGTAGTGCTTCGCTGCATACAGATATATCTGTTAAATTAAGTCTACGTTGTAACTTAAGAAAAGTGGAATATTTAAAATGAATCACATTGTGGTGATACGAAATTACAGACCTGGCGATGACAAGAACTGCAAAGAAATGATCAGAGATACCGTAATGTCGTACATGAACAGAACATTTATTTCAAATGCATTCCGGGAAATAACCTTTCAATTGACAATTATGTTTGCTGCGATTGCATTCATTTTTTTTGGTGTACCATTCACCACTTGCCTTTTTGCATTGCCAATTACTGTTGCTCTAATTTATGTTGCAACATATATGGGATTTGTTCTCAAAACTACTGAACTGGATAATGAAGTTTCAAATATTTCCAGGTATGTAAAAAATTATTGCTGTAACCCATAGATGTATTAGATATGAACAAAAAGCAAAAAACAAAAATTGTTTGATTCATAGGATATATATGAGCAATATGTTTTCCAATTACTGGGTCGCAGAAGTATTTGAGACATATTTGGTCACCCATCATTGGAAGGATGTTTACCATGTTGTTATGACAGAGCAGCAATTTCGTGAATCCAATATTGATATCTCATCGCGAGTGAAAAAAATTGTAGGAACAATTGCTTTAACAAAGTGTTATAGATCTGACGGAGGTGCATTTATAAAGCGTTTATATGTACATAATCAGTATAGGAGATTAGGAATAGGTTCTTGTCTGATGGATGTAGCGATGCAGTTTGCAATTAACCAAGGATACAGATGTATTGATCTTATAGCTTCTGAATATATCATGGAAAGCAGAGAATTGTGTCTTAAAAAGGGTTTTCAACTGAAACAAATGTACCACAAACCCATATTGGGATCGTTTGTGACGATTTTAATGTTTGAATTAACATATCGAATAAAACCTAATATTTCTGAGGATCCACATTGTTCTGCCATAAAAATGATTCTTACAAAGTAAAAATATTTCGTGTTATTGCAGTAATGATAATATAATGAGTAAGGTGCAAATAATACCAAAGTATTTTGACAAATTTTTGTCCAACTTAAAGTTTTAACTAAGTATATTCATATAGTTAATTTTTGACAAAAGAGTTGATCTATATTACAGAACTGGAATCTATAAGTGTAGTCACTAAGTATTAACTTACTAGAAGTATAAAAATCATATAAGACCTATAACAAAGTACACTAGTGGAATGAATGAGTACAAAACACAGTATTTGTACCCAAAAATATTGCTTAAATGCAATATTTTATTTTTTAAAGAATAATTCGTTTTACTTCATTTAAATTTGAATCTTTTAGTACTTTGTATACAGAGAGAATGATTGCTAACAATCTGTATAATAATAATTATTATTATACAATTGTATTTAAAACTGAGAAAAATATTGGGCTAACAGAAGTGTATTATTGATTTATTTCCTTCACACTTTCAAAAGAGATTTGCAATATTCCTAGACTTATTATATTAATAATCTGTTCAAACATACATGTAAAGAAATTTAAAAATCTATTTTTGCTATTGCAAATACCAAACATTCATATACCAACCTTCAAGTCAAGTGAAAAGTGCTCTTGAAATTAAAGGCTGAAAAACTTGTAGTATGTACACATTATTTAACAGATTGTATAATAAAGGGAGAAGAAAATGCTGAACCGAACATTGGAAAATTAGTAATTAAATTAGTAAGTTAGTTTATTCAATGTGTTAATGTCTGTATAAATTGTAAACTGTTCAGTGACAAACCGAACTTAATGTAATGTTAAGACTTACTTATACTCCAATATGAAAATATAATATATATTTTGTATGAATAACAATAACAGTTTTAGATATAATTACTTTTATGGATGCTATTTGATCACGATATTCATGTTTGTATTTTTGATATAAGTAGATTTAATATATTACACCTTTCAGTGTACAAATACATTTTCTTATTTTTTCATAGCACTCCAATATGTTTGAAGCTCTTTACCTTCCCAATGCTTGTCCACCACTTTTGATAGATATCTAAAATTACAAGTGACACAAAAAATCACTGAAAGGAATTTCAGCAGTAACACCGTAGATTATTCATAACAGGCAATTGGTAATAACACGAGGAAGAATTAGCTGAACATATAGATGGTTATTATGTGCAATCTAATTGGTATTTTGTAACTTACTTTTCTTGTATTTCATGTAGTATATTCTTCTCTTCATCAGTGATTCCGTTTCGATACAGGTCAAGGTTCATATTCAACTGCTGTTGAGTTTGCATTCCGACTAAGTTGGTTGCAATGTCATTGCACTGTAATGAATGCCATAATGCCAGTTTGCCTAATTCAACGCCACGGTCCTGTAAAGGTACAGTCAAACTTTTAATTAGCATGCCTATCAATGCTTTAATAAGTTTTTTCAAAATGAATAAAATAAAAAGGAACAAACCTTGCAATATTGAGCAGCTTCGGAACATTTTATTTTTGTATCATTACTGGCTGGGTGCCATTCCGGTGGACCTTCATTCGTAAGAAGTCTCATGCAGGGAGCAGAAGCATTTATAACACCAATGTTGCGTTTCTGAAAGAAATGGAATAATTTATTTTAATAAATTCCATGCAGAAATAAAATTATATATAAGTATATATTTATGTTGGTATATGTAATCTATACTTTGAAGAATGGAAGAAACTGCTGCAATGTGTCATCTATTAGTGTAAATCGAGTGTAGGTCAAAATACAGGCAATCTTCACATTACTTTTTTCAATACATTCTTTTAGTATAGATATTGGGTAACCAGTGATACCGATGTAATTTGCTTTTCCTTCACTGACTTTTTGAGATAACAGCGGTAATGTTTGTGTTGTAATAATGTCCAATGAAGGAGCAAATTCAATGTCATGAACCTAAAAGATATTTTCTTTTAACAAAGACGGTATAAATATATGAAATCATTTAAAATGGTATACTTATCCACACCTTACAAAAAATTAAATTAATTAATTTATCTTTTTTATTCTGGATAAAGGACAAACTTTTACCTGAATAACATCAACATACTCTAATCCCAAAAGTTCCAGACTTTTTGATAAACTTTTTGAGGTCTTTTCAACAGTAAAGTCAAACATTTTTTCATAATCTGATTCATATCTGCCAATTTTCGTTGCAATATAATAAGCTTGGCGAGGGATTCCTTTCAAGGCCTGTAATCATTTTAAAGTTTATCCTAATGAAAATATATTATTAACTTTCAACAACATTAGTAATTATTTTTAAATACTTTGCCAATTATTGTTTCTGAACGTCCTTGTCCATACCATGGTCCAGTGTCAATATAATTAATGCCTTGTTTTATAGCGTGTCTTATACTTTCAATGGCCTCATGTTCATTAAAATCACTATTAATTGAACAATAAACTCAAGAAGAATAAATAAATTCAAGAAGACTAGTATATATCGCTATTCATTATATGGATGTCATTTTTATTCGTAATTACTTTTATTGTCATAAATTATTTAAGTCATGATTGTGTTTTGTAATTTCATATGATTACCCATAATGACTTCCAAATGGTGCACCACCAAGAGATAATTTGCTAATCCATAAATTGGTTTCTCCAAGCAGTTCATATTTCATTGCTTTGACAGATTCTAAATCATGAAAACCTTCCACGTATGTTGGTGGTAACGTTTGACCTAACGATCTAAAATTAATTCAATTAATGCAGATATACCATTAGGGTTAAGTAGATTCTAAAGCATAAAACAAAATCATTGACATCAATTACCTGTTGTCCATTGTACGTTCGTTGCTTATAAAGATTGCAAATATTCTACAATTACGGCCTGGGTGGTGGGTACTGGTCCTGTTAGCAACAGGGAGCAGTGTTGCCAGAATCCCACGCGAGGGATTTTTCCCCCTCCACTACCACGCTCGGTCCCTCGCGGCCGAAGTGTAGGCAAGGGGTTTTGGCAATGAGGGAAGGAGAAGCTGGAGACGCATGGTGGGGACATCAGGAATCCCGCACGCGGGATTCCCCCTATCTGGCAACACTGTCGGAGAGTGACTACGTGGCAAGATAACTGATAACTAAAGAGTATTAGATAGAGCGGAAGGTCCCATAAGGCCGCAATGTATTTTTGCGTATACCTTAGACCATAAATATTTGACCTCGCATGCAATGGAAGGGGTAAACCTGAATACCAGCCATATTCAAGTATAGGGAGTGAGCGGTCCTTAGATTATACGTCCATGAAAGAACGGTGCTGGCTGTGAACAAATAAACAGTGAATGAAGTACAATATGCCTCTTTAGCATAAAGAAGATTAAAAATTGTTTTACGTACAGGATTAGCAAAAAGAAAGAAGTTAGAGCAAACAGGAAATATACCTATCAAGGTGATCTACGTATCAGAAATTGGTACAACGATACGCGACCACTCGCGAGTCGACGAGATCATGTCTCGCCGACTCGCGAGTGGTCGTGTTCATTTTATATGTTTTTCGTGTGTTCTCTTAGAGTAGGAATAGATTTCTCCCGGGTCCGCGGTAATTTTCCGATCGCGATACTTAAACGAGCGCCGGGAAGTCGGATGACCCTCCGACTTCGAGGCCGCCGGTTCCGCGGAATTTCTACGAATAATTGAATAAAAAAAATAAAAAAAGATTTGGGAGAAGTGACTCGCGAGGAGTTGAATTCGAATCGAGGTGGCACTTCGATGTGCCTGCGCCTTAGAGTCGCCGCCTCGATGAAGGAGTCAACTTCAGGGATTCCAGGTTTTTTCGGCCAAGCCTTCCACTGCCCTGGGGCCGTAGTGCGAGCTGGGCTTGGCCTTTCGATCTTATTGAAATTGTAAACGATCAAAGTCGAGTAGAGTCGGTAGCTCGATTTAGCGTTATGAAAATTAACCTAGCTAGGATTCTTTCAGCGGCGTCAAAGGTAGGTGTCCCTTCTTCTGGCCGCGTTCCGTCCTGGCCCCCGCCCTTCGACGCCTCCAGGGGAAGTCGAACGGTTCAGGGCCAGAGGACGTGGTAAAAAAAATTATGTAAGCACCTTCGGTTGCCATCTTGATTTCAATTTCACGCATCCATTCAATTTGTTTAAATTCAAGTAACGATGGCGATCGATGAATGATACATGTGAGAGATTTGAGCTCGGGGGTCGGAGGCATCCCGGGATGTCCTCCCTAGATTAGGCTACTTGTCCCCGGGTGGAATGAGCGAGAATCGTGGAGTGAATGTGTTGGAATGAGTGAGGTTGATTTTTTTAAATATAGCTAGGGAGGTAGGTTAATTGCCTTGAATGAATGTCTAAATGTAAGCAGGCAGGGCCAGGGCGGGATCTCTTCCCGGGGGTATGGGGGAGGATCCCGAACCTGGGATACCTTTACATCATCGTTCGCGCTTCCGGAAGGGCGGAGGATGTCCGTCCTGCGCCCGCGGCTCTGCGCTGAGAGAAAAAATAACTTTTCAGAAAATAGAATTCTTGCGATAGATTTTTTACCAATATTCCGAAAATTTTCCGACCAACCTTAAACGTCAAATTGTTTTCGGGAAATCACTTCCGTCCGATATTAACGGGTTATCCCTCTTATTCTTGCCGCGAATAATTCATTTAAGTATGGAAAGTAAATTATTTTCTCAGGGTACTCCTCGACGCCCGCGATTATGTTAATTTTCTTTCAGAGATCCAAATTAATTAGATCGCGCTTGGGAATCCGGATAAATGTGCAATACGCACGGACTGCGCATCCTCGGATCGCAGGTCGCCGTTTTGCTAGCTTTTAGATCTCCCCGCGAGAGATTTTTTTTTTTATTAATCCGATAAATCAGGGGATTGCCAAGCGTTCGAGACGTAGGGGGCTCTGCCCGAAGAGACTGCAAGAGTCGAAGAGGCTATATGCCGAAGCGGCCCCTTAAGAAGAGGGCAACTACGATGGCCTTCCATTCTTTCGAATGGGCAGTCATCCATTTTTTTCGCCACGTTGTCCCTCTCATTTTTTATGTATCCTTATGTCTGGATTGACGGGGAGAGACGGTGAACTATCGTATTCATGAAATTTTCTCGAGTCTGCATTTAAGTAGGATAAATATATTAGATTTTTGTCACGCCAAGTAATGTATAATTGAATACATTTTTACTGGGTTAATTATACGAGATCGATGCACTGCGAAATATTCTTGGCTTTAATGGTAACTTTAGTAAGTTATTAGCTCTTGTATCACCGTCTCTTTCTCACTTTCCCAATGGTTTCGTTTGTGCCTTTGTGTTCCCTTTCAGCTTTAGGTGGGCCACTTCGGAGAATCTGGCGACTTCCTGGTGTTTCTTCAATGTTCCGTTTTACCTGTACTTTTGTGCCCCTTTGCAGGTTTAGGTGGATCACCTGGAAGCAGCTGATTTGGCAGAGATGAGTTGGGAGATTGCCATAATGGTAAGTCACCACCGTCAACTGCCGCATGGTATTACCATCACGAATACGTGAGCCGCCAACGGCAACTGGTAGATGGCACAGCCATCGCCCTACCAGAAATTCGTTGCGCCGCCCTTGGGGGCAAAAAACGGTGAAAGCTAACGTACCAAACCAGAGGGCAGCACCTGATGCGATCGCGCGACCCTGCCCGTGAGCAATCTCCCAACTCATCTCTGGTAGGAATCATCAAAAATGGGAGTAGATTCTCTGTCAGCGAAGTAGAAATTTCCGTTACCGCCATCATAGTGAAAATAGCTGAACTAAAATCTAATATGGCGGATACGGCGGACATTTGGAATATTCTTTTTCATTCTTAAATCCTTTATCAGATGGGTTAACCGATGAACGCAAACGTGACTAAAAGTGTATGTCTATACGGGGAGAACTAGACAGATTTCTTCATGGTGAAATAATTAAATCCATTGTCTTACAGTCAGTTATACATATTAGAGATGAGCAGGTTAGGTTAGGCTGCTCATCTCTGTATATATATAGTATTTCAGGAATAAAATAGAGTAGAAAAAAAAAGAGAAGTTGAAGTAGAGAAATAAAATCACATTAACAGTAGTAGATCTACTTCGATCGTAGCAGCAGTGGCAACCCTCTGCCATCACACCAGAGGTGGGTAATTCCCCGTTTTTCGAGGTTTTTGACGTATATTACCTTAACAAAGTACGGTTCCAATATGTAGAATGCCGCGGATGAACGATATATGACTTCTGCTAGGTCATAGACGTCTTTCGGGACATATGTAAACACGTAAATATTTGTAAGGAATAATAAATTCGTTTGGCGCTTGCGTTTAAAATTGTTTAAAATTTTTCCAATATGGCGGACGCCGTAGAAGCATAAGCAGTCCATGTATTATAACGCCCATACTTGGGCTCCGTCCACATATTCTTAAGTCCATAGTTTACTATATATTTCAGTGGCGACAGCTAAATCTGTTAATCAGGAAGCTAAGAGTTTGGTTGACTGATATGGCTACCTCCCTATTGCTTCTACGCGTTGCCCCTTACTTATTCGAGCACTAGCTCCTCCAGCTTGGGCTCCGGGCATACATTCTTACGTCCATGTCCAGAAAGTTCCTTCTAATAGACACCTATGGATAGAGTCTACGACAAACAATTCTGGAGTCAAAATTAACAATAATATGAATGGATGTCCCATGGTCTGTGCCAAACAGTACTCCTAATTTGGATGGAATTGTATAAAATTAGATACTTAAAAAGCACTCAATAGTATAGTGTAAAGGTACTAAATAATAAAACACTTTTTAATTACACAGTATAAAACGAACTAGTACTTGAAGATTTTCAATTGCACAATACTAATGTACTGGCCGGTTCTTTAATTCAAGGAGATACTAAAAAATAAGCTACATTTGGAACAACTTTACCTCTAGCATTTCCACTCGAGTTCAGAGGGGGAAGATGTCCCGAAAATAATTTTCTCGAGTAGCTGTGAAATCTTACTTCCAAATGCTATTCCATGTATACCTAAATCTCGATATATTTGGAAATTCACTTCAAAGCTTCGCATTGTAGTGAGAGGCCAAAAATGCCATGTATGTACCATTTGAAAGACTCGACTTCGTGCATGGATATCTTATTTCCGTTTCATCTCAGAAATTGAAATTATCATCATTCGGTAGGATATACTCGACTTAATCATCCGAATCTTTCAGATTTTCCGTATATACTCTTCTCCTGAATTTGAATAGGGGTGGACCAATCTGGTCTGGAATACCCTGTATCCACCCAATCATTAACCACTAGCAGGTGGTAAATTCAACGTTTTACGTTCGTATACTAACTTAATCGAGAGGCATTTTGAAATATTGATAAATACTCTCCTATTGTGATAACATAATTTCCATACAAAGTTATTTCAGCAATGTACTCACACTTCAGTGGGTGATCTTTTTACATCTAAGACTCTTCTGTAACTGCTTTTTATTCAAATAAAACGAAATTTTCAGTTTCTCCAACTAATAAAATAACCCCCCCTATTTTTATAACTCCTTTGTAGTAAATAAATACGTTAAAACACTGAAATTATACATATTCGTGTCTTGGAGGGAGAAAGAGATGCTTTTCATGGTTTATTCTCATTTGAATTTTTCCAAAATATACTGTATACAATATTTTACTTTACTTATTAATATATACAGTCATGTGTTGTTTATACGCACTAGGAAATTTTATACTTTTTGACATGAAATTGAGCAGTGCGCGACAGTCTACATTGCATGTCTCAAATGAATGCACTATGAATGTAGTGTTTCATTGTTTAATTTTTTTTTTATACTTGTACAGTGCTTATGAAGTTCCTTGTAAAATTCACCTTGAATCTAAGCACAGAGGTATTAATCGATTATTTAACTTGAACCCTTAACATAATTAGTTCTAGTATCTCCAGTCCTCTCATCACTCACTCCTCTTTTGTAAATATGTACACTGTTCGGGTTAATAATGGATCGTGATGATACTTCATACATTTCTGGTTAAGGGGAAGTCGCTAGAGTGATGGGGGCTAGTCAGCATAAACGATAAATTGCTGATTGTCCACATCAGCAACTTCAACTTGCACAAACTGTGGTTGTTGTAACTGAATTTGCGATACCTGCCGGCCAATCGCATTACGCGACCTGAAAATGTTTAATACATTTAGTCAAAATATAGAATTCAATGAAGATGTACTATCGCATGCACAATATTTAATATCAGTGTCTTCCTTAAAGTCGCTATTGCAACTATAGTGTTTCAAAAAAAAAAAATGAAGATTCTTGTTTACATTAGCACTTGGTCTCAATTATAGGCATCTTCAACAATCCAAAAGATAACTATGCATAGCATGTAATACTTTCCAATCACCTAACGATACTTTCAATCAAATTAGATTGTCATTGCTCAATCACTAAATGCTGATTATGCAGTATTTTTTAATGTTTTAAAAGAATTAAGGATGAAATCATACCGTTTAGAAAATAAAGAGAATAAATGGAAACACCTATACATGTATTCCAACCTGCTGATATTTACTATCATATTTCTCTCCATTTTATGTAGAAATAATTCGTGTAAAATTTGAGCTTAATCGGACAAAGGGTAAGGGTGCCCCTAGACCCTTAAAAATTGAAATAATCAACTTTCTTTGTTTATCCTGCAAAATATTAATTATATGCAAAAAAGCTTTATATAAATGTTGTACATCTATTAAAACTGCACGTGTTATTATATACAACTTTTCCTCTTATAACTAACTGTTTCCGAGAAAAATGCGAAAAAGCATGTCTCAAGCAATACTACTGCAAGTACTCTAGTAGAGGATAGTTTAAGGGACTTCCATAAAGCACGTAGCACGTTTAGTCGATCTGTGTCCTTCTCTGTTTATCGGGTTTTCTAAGTCAAGCGCTACCTGGTTTATGGAGGCAAGAGCGTTCCATAGTAATATAGTAATTTAGTAATTTAGTATAGTTCAGTAGTGTGCCGATGTTCTTTCAAAGGACCCATGATCCCAGACCAGTCAGCCACTTACCTGACACAATTCTCTCTAGGATATTGAATGAGTGAAAACAAATTTTTATGTCACAATGTCTTCTGCTCGTGTATTACGTGAGAAATTTTATTTACTTGGATATTAGAGAGTGGCATGTGAAAAAACTAGAAGTAAATTGCCATCAAATACACAAGTTTTAAGTGTATTATTATTCAATCTTCGAGCGGTAAAGTTAACTTTATGCGAAAGTGCCAGACCAGCATTGCAAGAAGTTATCCTTTTTTGGGAAAAAGCACGAATTCAGGATTTTCGCATTTTTCTAGGAAACAGTTTTTCATGCGAGAAAAAGCCATAGATAGTAATATGTGTATATTTAACTTTCGTATAAAGTTTTTTTCTCATATAATTAATACTTTGCAAGATAAACAAATGAAATTAAGTTTTTCTTTAATTTTATGGTTTTTTCGATATTTAGGGGCACCCTTTTCTTTTGTCCGATTGAACTGAAATTTTACACAAATTATTTTTACATAAAATGGAACCAAACTGGGAGGTAGCGCAAAGAAAGTTCAAACTTTGAAAATAAGAGTCAGCGTAGTCTACGCGTGTAGCTACCTGTTAACTTTTTCTGTCACAAGCATCTGCTTATTTAGTGAAGGTTATTTTAAAAATTTTTAATTTGAAGTATAGCGTAAAGAGAATATTCGCTACTTTTAAGTGTGTAAGTAATTAAGAAGCTCACATTATCGCTTATCGGGGAGGAATAATGTACTCACTTTGCTTTTGCATGAGTCAATATGTGAGATTTCAGATTTGTGGACTGTGCAAACTTTTTGCTACATCCATCAAACGGACAAACGTACGGTCTATCGCCAGTATGAATTCTGACATGAGTTCTTAGATTGAAATCCAAGCTAAACCGTTTCCCGCATCCCTCAAAAGTGCACTGAAATGGCTTTTCTCCTGTATGTACGAGTTGATGCCTCTTCAGCTTGGAACTCTCGACAAAGGCCTTCCCACACTCGGCGCACACGTGCACTCTTGGTCCGTGAGTGTGCAGATGCTTACGCATCGCGCTGTTGTCTCGAAACATTTTGGTACATCCTTTATGTGGACACGCGATCGTACGTTCTACTCCGTCCAGGATAGGTGGTTTCCGCACTTTCAGCTTGTGGCCAGGTCGCGCAAACTCGGCCAACTGCTTGGGATCCGACAGGTCAAGCCCAGGCATACCGTCGGAAATCGAGCTCCCCGAGTGATTGAACTTCGTCGTGGATTTGCCAGTCATGTATTCCGTATAATCTGGATCAGGCTCTGGATTGGAACCCTCATCTGGAACAAGTTAACATGTGAGATGCTAAAAAGGAACCCTCTTTGATCAAATTCAATGACAAAACCATAATAGGTATCGCGGTGCACCTCAATAACGGTAACATTAAGACATACCCATATTTCTGTGATATGAAGCCACCTTGGAAAGAATTGATACCATAAATTTGGTAAACTAGAAGTGAAATACTAATTGTGTCAACAAGAGTTTGTACTTTGATTTAATAACCCAATATGTTATTATGATTTCAAGCCATGTTTAAGTAAGTCAGTGGACACCAGAATCAAAAGCAAAATGTACCGGTAATGGACCTGCAGGCTATTTTAACTCCACCACACTGATTTAACAAATATAAAACTTTCATCTTTGCTTACACACACACACACACACACACACACACGCGCGCGCGCGCGCGCGCTTAATAAATATGAAAGATAACAGTGAAATATGGCAGAGAAACAACTGTCCCATGAAATATATATATCAGCAAAGATGAAAGTTTTATATTTGTTAAATCAGTGTGGTGGAGTTAAAATAGCCTGCAGGTCCATTACCGGTACATTTTGCTTTTGATTCTGGTGTCCACTGACTTACTTAAACATGGCTTGAAATCATAGTAACATGAATAAAAAGTGGACACCGGTATTTAAGATACTTTCTCAAGGGCTCCACCGGAGAAAATATTAATCAGCATTTATATTATATTACCGTGAGCAAAGATTAGTTCCTCGAGAGAAATCATAATTATACTACAAAGTGTAACAACTTGTTTTGATAGTAGCATTCCATGGAGCAGTACTTAATTGTACAATCTAGGTAAACTCATGATCGACTCGACTAACTCTTGTACAAATCACTTTTTCTCTTTTCGTTTACTTGGAATATCGTATTTTGTTTTTGTTAAATTTTTTTTCTTTGAGAAACTAAACATTTTCCAGTAGGCAACACAGGTATTGGAATACCTATGATGCAACTGTCTTGACATGGCAGCAATTGGATTTGATACTTCATACATTTTATTTCCTCGGTCATGTTAAAACATTTATTTTTAAAGCACTATAAAAGTTGAACAATTAGTATAAAATATTATTTTAATCTTTGCAAAATCAGGGATCCGTGATATGTAAAACTTATTTTATAATGTCAGTTGATACATATAAATATGTAAGCACACGTGCAATTTCTATGTCATGAAATAGGCAAGTTCAACAATTTCTAACCTAACCAAACTTAATTTGTGGAAAATGACATTGCATTTTATATTCATCTGTCATATAAATTATATGTTAAGCAATGTATACACGATTAAGTTAAGTTGTGTAAGAAACTTCTTAAAACCAAATCAAGTATATGCATATCAAGTGAAACTTATTCTTAAAATACTGTTCCTCGGAAAGTTTTCTATGAAAAAAAAAAATCTTCCCGATTATACTACAATAATTGGTCCACTCTAAATTCAAAATGTTCAAGGGTTTTTCCAAAAATTGCACTTATTTGACAAAATTGAAATCCATACCGACAAGTATATACTTTTCAAAGTTTTTTCTTTTTTATTATTTTTGAAGTCAAATAAAAAAGTCAGAGTCTGTCACAACACTAAATATGTACCTTTGTTATGAATGACACAGAAAAATTCTCGAGTCAGTCATTAACGTCAGGAATTTGTCGTGTGTCTAGGTTCATGTTTCGGCGAGAGTGGAATTATTTCGATGCACAGCTATGGGAATGATTCTTGTCGTGAAGATCTGTGGAATATGGAACATAGGCACTCTCCGTCTACCTGCTGGCAGTACAATGATGAATGTTCTTGTTTACACCAACGGAAAAATTTGCATCTATTCTGAACAGGAATGTTCCTGTTGGAGTGGTATCTAAAGCACTAGATATAAGTATCAACTTAGTTAAAGGCATGAAAGTATTAGTAAAAATGGTCTAAATTGATATAATACTCTCCCAACCTAAAATGCTAATTTTATGATGAATTAATATAAATAAACAAGCAAAGTATAAACACATTGCAAACTGCCAAAAAGCTAAGGATGTTCTAGATATAGAAGTTTTCTTATTTACTCTTCAAGAGAGGAGTCCTATAATTACAGTAATAGATAACCTACAACCAGTAGAAGTTGTATCACTTTACGCCAGGTTCTTTCATTCCACTATCGAATTATGTACTTCAATCTTGTTCATATGGTTTGTCCTCGTATCAATAGCTGATTCAGTTTGTGGTGTAAACACCGTCAGAGTGCCTTTAGATTACATACACGCGCGCACACCACACACCATATATACCATGAGACTTGACATTCAGATTTCTAAATATCATTTTTTTTCCCAATATTGAGAGGATTAAAATTACAAAAATGTTATCTAACGATGTCAATTGATTATGTTGCTAATTTAAAATATGGTCAAAGTAGCTTTAACATTCAAATTTAAGTTAAGGTTATTGGAGGCCCAGGAGCTTAATACCTTTTAAAACATCAAAGTCCTGTTTTTCTATCAGATTCGCAAGTGAACGATACTGAATTAAATATCTAAGCTTTAAAGAACATTTATGTGCCCATTTCTCAATACTATCAGACTATTTAATATACGAAAACAAGTTGCAAAATTACTATAGAACCTCGAGATATCACCAAAGGAATTCTATTGTAGATATGGAACCAACATCACATCAATTAATATTTTTCTTTCATTAGAAAACTTGTAATATATATATTTGTCCATGATAATATTACAATATTACATTTATTTCCTTATTAAACCAATGAACATACTCTGTAATAAATTAGGACACATGGTCAGCGCTTGACATAGTCATATAAACAATTTATTACATCGTCTTTCCTTTTGGTAAGACGTTTTTAGCATTGATAAAAAAAAATTCTATTACCATAAGACATAATGTATGACATGAATTAAAAATTAATTATGCATCAAATTACTAAATTGCCCGATGAACGAATATATCGAAACAAGTTAAATATCCAATATTATTATGGTAAACCTGCTCGATTAAACTTCTTTTTTGGTACTAATCAAGTTGACTTTAAAGTCAAGACCTTGCTTAAACAAATTTAGATGAAGAATAATACCATTTTTAACACTTTACCGACTGGCAGTGGTTCAACATCCTGTGTACTTCTCAACGGCCACTCAGCTGCAGATCTTCCCTGATACCGGCTCTGTTTCGGTTTAGACAATTAATCGGCTACCGGTCGGTAAAGTGTCAAGGTATATTGAGATCATGTAGATATTTACGTAATTTTGAAACATTAAGTTGAGTTTCTTTCACAGAAGTTTCCTATAAAAGGACTTTTCCCCATGGATCTACAAAAGTGCTATCAAAGAATTGAAAAATATATTTACAAATTTATTTATATGAAATATTATACAAATTAAATATATTAACATTACAATTCCTGTACGAGACCATCGACTATGTATCATAATGTACAGAAGTAATTATTGACAATTATCCCTCATTTTTATGTACAACTGTAACCGGACGACTATGATCAGAATCATCGATATTCAATATAATGTCATCTTTATCAACATTCAATAACATTAGTAGAACTATAAAATTCTGCAGATTGGCACATTATTGAATCGATCACTGACAAGAATGCAACGATACATAAATAATAGAGATTATCGAATATCGAAAATATCTGCTCGAGGAACATGAAGACGACGTTAAAAACACAATTATCTCGATTATCGAAGGCGCGATATCTCGCGAGCGGCCACGAAAGGTGTGACGTCATTCGAAGCATTATATTAAAGGTGCACAGCCAACATTCGAGGCACGCACCCGAACTCCTGCCACAAACGATATGGAATAAAAGCCGCCAATCGTACGTCTAATAAGGGAAAAGGCACCCAGAACGGGAGAACTCGCGTTAACCCTATCTAGCCGAGAGTTTCCACGTTGCCTCGTCCCTTTCCCGCGACCTCGCGTCGAGCCGTTGCTCCTCGTCCGCCATAAGACTCGAGACTCAACCGCCATTATGCCCGAAATGGCCGATCCTAGTAAAAGAGGCCATTTTCAAAATATGGCTGCCTCCCTGACAGCGTAATGGCGTTCCTCGATCAAAACAAACAACAGTTACGTCAACAGGTTCACCGGTTATCGCTGCTCCGCGAGGTTTCGGGTGAATTTGAGCCAGGGAAACGGATTACGCGAGAACTAAGTATCGATCGAGGCGAACCGGAAGTCGGTACAGGACGGACGAGTAGAGGAAAGATCCACGGCAATTGCAGGGCACGAAACGCGAACAAGCGGACGAGAAGCTAGCAAAACGGACGGAGCGCCGCCGGAGCGTCGCGGGCTGCGGCCGGTTGCCGGTTGCCGGTTGCCACTTACCGTCGTCTGTGCCGGAAGCCCACATGGTTACCGAGAACTCGCCCTCCAGGGTTTTGATCTGCACCTGCTTCTGCTCCCACTTTCTAGCCTTGGTCTCCGTGCCCATATCTCCGAAGATCGCGTGTTCGGGAGTCCTGAATCGAGAGGTGGCACCTTTTCTGGCTCTCTTGGTGACTTTCCTCGAAGGGCCGGGACTCGATTCAACATAAATGTCGTTATCCGGCACTGGGATTTGGTCGTAAACGCTGAGTGGATCGCCACCGACGATCTCCTCTTGCGTCTGTAAGATGATTTCTTCGCGGCCTGGTTCCGGCAAAGGCTGGAGAGCTATCATTGGCTGGCCATCTTCGCCTTCGATAGTCGTCTCGACGGTTTCACACGGTATTTCCACGGGTATAGTCTCGATCTCGACTTCTTGAATGTCCGGCTGAATCTCCACTTCGGTTATAATGTCCGAGGACGCCATATTAATCTCCCCTGACGCCATGTTACTTATCAAAATGGCTGGCCACGGTCGGTCGCGCGACAAGCGGGGTGGCAAGCCGTTCATCACGTGACGCCTCTCCCACCTGCCGCCTAGAGCTTACTACGAGTCGAGGCACGCCGTTGCACGTTGCGCTCTCTCGTATGCCCTGCCGTGTCCTGTCTTTCTGCTCAGCTCGTGGCTCGTGGACTCGGCTGTCGACCCCGCCCCGACCGACCGACCGACCGGCCTTGGCGTATCGCCCGTTGACCAAGGTTCGTCAAGAGTGTCTTACGTACAGGACTTCGCGGCTGGCGCACAGATGGCGCCACCGTCGCTTTAGGCTGTTCGAGGAAACCGTAGACCAGGGGGATCTATTACGTAAACCAAATTGAGCAAAAATGTGAAAAATGAATAGCTGACGGTATTACGGAACGTTTTTGGTGGTGAAAATTCGTGACCATTCATGTGAATTGGTTCACCACACATTTTTAAGCGAAATAGTGAAGCATACAAGAAAAGATAGAAAAATAAGCACCGTGAACGCCATCTTCCACGGATTGACATCGAAATTCAAAATGGAAAATCTTCTGGGTGTTCTGATTTTTGGCAACAATCGTATTCGGGGACGCAATAACCTTATTAGAAGAAGAAGAGAATTACGTGACGCCACAAACCCATTTTAGAAAAATATAGATGGGCTCTTGTCCTCTTCTTTACTTTTAACGGCTTTCCATCTTCTCGCTTTTCCTGCCTTATAACCCACACCTTTCAACAATGCTCGACTTACAAGGTATATACTTTTATTTGCAATATTACTAGACCGGAAGTGCTAGTGATCTCATTATTTCATATAGCGAATACGTAATTCGGCGAATAAACCCACGTGAGATGGAAATGCGAGAAGTGAGTGCGCTCGTCAAAAATACGTAATAAACGCCCAGGGTTGAGTAATTTCGCCTTTTCTTAGGGTTTTCACGTATGTATATTACGTAAACCGAATAGTTTACCTAAGACAACAGGTGAATTACGTTTCCAATATGCAGGAAAGTCAGGTTATACACGTCTGTCAGCGTACATGTAAATACGAGATCAATTTTAAACATTGACTAATTTGGACTATTTCCGTGAATTGTGTTTCCCAATTGTTAATTTGTTTGTTAGTTTGTTAATTAACCCAATGTTTAATTGGATTTATTATTTTCTATTTAGAAACAGAAGTATGGAATATATATCGCGCTCGCGTAGAAAACTAGGAACGTATTATACGTTTAACATATGTACATACACGTAGAAAATCACGGCACTGGACTCCGTCGATGGTTTCCTCCCGTCCGCTCTGCCCTCTCCGGCCGCGCAGCGTACTAGCGGCGGATTCAACTCATTTGACATTTAACGGAAATTCAACTCATTTTGACACAAATGGTTCCTTGTTCTTATTTCCAATACGAAATAGAAATGGTGTTTTACGTTTTGGATACCTATTTCGAATGAATTCAATTCATAAAAGTTACTTCGATTTGCGTTTATAAAAAACTCGGATAAGAAAAGTCTTTCTTATGTTTACGGGTGCTCATTTACATGCTCATTTAATGATTTACAGGTGTCCATTTATTCGAGGAATACGAAGAATGGTGTAGAACGTAAATATATAAGAGGCATGAAATCACGATTTCGTTTTTATGTCCGAAAGTTGATGCAACGTAAATTTTCCTACGGTACTTCACTGTATATATATTTAGAAACTATTTTTTTTAAGTTAAGATAATATTCTAACTTCGGTTCAGTGAATGGAACAATTGAATCGCTAAGAAACTTGTTAACATTTAATGAAATATGTTTTATTATATTATTTAAAAAATTCTGTAAATTATCATTTAGCAAAAACTACGTTAGGTTTGTCAGGGACACTCGACAATAGTTCTTAAATAATTTTCATTAATTGTTTTTGTTTATAAATATTTATTTTCTTTAGGGAATCCATTCTGCCCCGCAGGCGATTCAAATTCCGCGCTGCTCCCGCCGCTAGTACGCTGCGCGGCTGGAGAGGGTAGAGCAGACAGGAGGAAACCATCGACGGAGTCCAGTGTATATGTCCGAACTAGGCTTACGCCGCTAGTTCTATCTACATGGGGGCGCTGAGATCTTTTCGACCGACTTTAGGTCAGCTTCTAATAGTCCATACTTATATACTCAAAGGTCGTACCCATGTCTTTTCCGGTTTCTGTTTTCCAAGTGACAGGTACGGCGTATGGGGAATCATTTTCATCCACTTCAATCAATCTTATTCTAACAAAATATCATAAATAGTGTATGTATACCTCAATTGTAGATAGTTAGCATGTATCGAATACTTCAATTTTTATTCATCAAATATCAGTTTTCAACAAAATTGATCCTAACCTCTGTGACTAAGAAAGTCAAGCAAACGTATGTTTTAGATCAAACTGATTTAGTATTTATGGAAATGAAAACATTGGTTAAGCCGGGAGTTGTTTTTATTAATAATTTTGTATCAGTTTGATTTTTTAATTTATTCCTTTATATAATTTAATGTTTCATAAAACAAGGTTCATGTATGAGTTTTAGGGGTTGCAACATTAGTTGAAGAAATTCATTAATTAAATCTACAGCAATACCAGGTAACTCTGATGTAGTCAACTTTTTTTGCTGTATTAGTTTGCAGTATGGAAGATAAAAGTCGTTTATTTTTGATAATAAATAAAGTTGAAAAATAAAATAATTTGAAAAAGGTGTGTCGACTAATCAGAATCTCTATTTTAATCTCTTTCACAAACTTTGATTATAATTTCACTTTCGTTTTAATAGCTATATATATTGTTCTATCTTATATATTTATTAATGCATTTTAAAATATCAAACATCATTCAGAATTAATGTAGTTACTTTGTACTATTTCTTGCATATAATTATACCATGTGAGATCCAGTCTGATTACTTTTGGAAACCTTTAAAACTTATATATTTCAATTTGCATAATGTTAGTTATTTTAGTTATTTTTAATGTATTACTAAGTGGAGATGTAATTGTTTTAAGAGTTATATCCTAAGTGCTTTTAACACATTGTTTGTTAGGGGTGGTATTGGATTATTACTCTATAAATATTATATTTATGTAATGGTAATTTAAATTATAAAAACTGTATTATTGTATTATAATACAATTGTACTTTTCAGCAACAAAATGAAGCAGATTGTTACCAATCAAACGGTAAAAATCCCAGATGGATTATCCGTATCAGTCAAATCTAGGATGGTGACAGTAAAAGGGCCTCGGGGTATATTGAAACGCTCATTCAAACATCTTGCTTTGGATATTCGTGTAAGTTATAATGCTTAGATAATATTTTAAGATTTGTGTTCATTATCTTAAATTCAACTGAACGATCAAATACAATCATTAACAAAATCAAAGGGCATCATTGACTTTTACAATTTCTAAAGTTCATCAATGTAATTATCAACCTTTAACATTTTTCTTTAATTACCAAAAATTAAATCTAAACTGCACTTTGCAATATTTCAGTGATTGAATCATAACAAGGCAACAGCCATTAATTCATTATTCAGAGAATGACTGGTTTGATGACGGATTTGGTACCATGTCATGTCAAATCGCGATACAATTCAATATTTTCTTAATTGCACTTTGATGAATAAACTTAAATGGTATGCAATGTATGTCTTATTTAATGGGAAATGGTACATCAGTTTCTCTGTTTGACCTATAAGAGCTGGAAACGGGATACCTTCGCACCCAGAAATGTTCGTACAGGTTGTACTTTGAATAACTTGAATGGATGAAATTACAGCCTTCTCTGCTGTATAACTCTGTAGAACCAGATTTTTAAATTATTTGTCTGAAAAAATATAAATAATGAGTAGAAATCTGTACTGGCAGTCCATGAATGTGGTATGGCAGTCCATCATGGCTTGTGTCCGTTATTCGTTCAATGCTTACAGCACTGTTACATAGAACCACTAATGAAAATAAAAAAAAAGGCCATGGGTGAAAAGTTGTCAACTTCATACTCTGTCATTGGGAACTGCCATTGAATTCAACATTTTTTTGGTGTACATATACGAAGCTGTTAATAAGGACATTTCGCTCGCAAAAAACTTGAGCGAATTTTTGCCACAAGCGGTAGTCGTATGTCGTGATGTCATGCGCTGTAGAAGATGCAAATTGGACGACTGGCAAAAACCGTTACTTACATAAACATACTTACCAGGGCCCTTTTAGAATTCCCCACTACATGTAATATGTACACGCATTTCAAAAAAGTACAAAACTTATAAGTGTCGAGTTCTTTTGTTGTGTAGTACAATAGATATCTGATTTTGAATGAAATTTCTTATTAACAAAGTTCTTATTTCTTTACGTGAAGTATGACATTTTTGTTGAGGCTTAGCACCCGGTGACTCTAGCATTCAATAGCATTGAGATAGAGCTGCTTGATATAAAAATTGCAGTGTCATGACTTCCGCGGCATGATATAGTAACGGCCCTTACGTCACATGTGTTGCCACTGCTAACTCTTACGCAGCAGCACGGTCAACTCGGACTTTTTTTAAATCATACCATTCCTCCTTAACACATTCAGTGCCGAAACAAATGACGAGTACGCTGTCATAAACGAACCGTGGGGCGTATATGTCCGACGCGGCACGGAACGTGTTAAGGAACACCTTTGATAATACCATAATTCAGAAATACAGGGCTTATGTTACAAAATTGTGAATAAACCTGACGAATAAGTTACAAATAATAATGTTACTAAATTCCAAGTGGTTTTTCTTTAAATGATTTAAAATTTATTCTGCAAATTACTCTAAGAAATGTTAAGTTTTAGTTTTTGTAACAAATATTTTAATAAATAATTTTATATGATGTTACCTGGATTCCCCTTCATTTGATTTAATAAATGATTAATCTTTTACTGATAATTTAATGTACAGTAATATTTTCGTAGAGTACTAAAGTATATAATTTTAAGCAAGTTATATTTGTATTCCCCAGATGGTTAGCCCAAAAGTACTCAAAGTTGAGAAATGGTTTGGCACAAAGAAAGAACTTGCAGCAGTCCGTACCGTGTGTTCCCATATTGAAAACATGTTGAAAGGTGTGACTAAAGGATACCAATACAAGATGCGAGCTGTATACGCTCATTTTCCTATTAATTGTGTTACTACGGAGAACAATACCGTTATTGAAATTCGTAATTTCTTGGGAGAAAAGTACATCAGACGTGTGAAAATGGCACCTGGTGTAACCGTTAGCAATTCAGCTAAGCAAAAAGATGAATTAATATTGGAGGGAAATTCTTTAGAAGATGTTTCACGATCTGGTATGTAATTTATTTAAATTCCCAACTCTAATTTCAGGATTCTTATGTGTTTAAAACATTCCTGTGATTAGTTACGTATCGATTACCTTCGAAATGATAAAATTATCTATAAGTGCATCTTGTACCTTCAAATATTACTGAATTTAGAATCCTTGATAGAAATTAAGGAATTCTTTTACACTTTACATTGCCAAAGTGATCTTTCAAAATTTTATTTATTTCAAATCTTCATTTTGAACTTAGACATGTCTAAATATATATGAGAAACTAAAACTAATGACGAATTTGAAGGATCCGATCCGAATCGATCCAAATACCATTTGGATAATGAAACAAAAATAAGCATCAGCATTACCGGTTATTATGGCATCCCATGGAAAAAATGAGAAAATGTGCTCTTGCACACTCTACAGACAACATAAAATACTGCGATCAGTTACTTACTTTTGCTTGTTTGTATTAAAGTTCGAACAAGTTTGAACAAATTTTCAACAACCACATTAAATACCATTCAATTAATCTAATTTTCCTAATGTTTGTATTACAGTATATTTATTATATTAGAAGACTATTATGTCGTCATCTGTTTGTATGACTCCAACCTAAATATCATTGTCAATCATGACGAACGTTGTAGGGTTGTCACGTGAGAATGACACGTATAAATCGAATTCACAGATTTCATGTATTATTCTTTTTAAAAATTGTTTGGAAACGGTTTCTTAGTGATTTACCACTTTTCTATGGAAGCATGATCATCCCAAACGTGAATGAATTCCAGATTCTTTTACTTGGACATATATTTTTTGCTGGCGACAGTCTGGATGGTAACAGAATCTGCATATTTTTAGTATCATTTTTTTTTTTTCATCACGATAAAATTTGAATGGCCATTTCATTACTCTGTTAGTAATGTATCATTTTAGACTAACATTTTCCATTTCATCAATAGCCTTTTTTTTTTTTGTGAATTCGTAAATCGTCATGCAGCCGACAATTGTAGGAAGGTTTAGCATCCTCTTAATTTGTATGCCATAATAATAATGCATGTATACTAAAATATTTGGATGTACACATTTTATTTTGTGTTTCAGCTGCATTGATTCAGCAGTCAACGACCGTGAAAAACAAAGACATCAGGAAGTTCTTAGATGGTTTATATGTATCTGAGAAAACTACAGTTATTCAAGATGATGAATAAAAGTATTTCATTTCTATACAATTAAATAATGTTGAATCATTAATACAATCTTTACCATATTCAGATTATATTTATGTGCAATGCATATTCAATTAATAAAGTAGGTATTATTTTCTATTTTTTTTTCTTTTTTTTTTTAAGATTATCACTATCTAAAATCCAAATGTTTGGATAAAATAATAAGGTTGTAGGATTATCATCTCAGTCACTGGCTATGGTTACTGTGAACATTTTTTGCATTTTATTCCTTAGGTTAACTGCCATTTCTATATTTGAATAAACTTATCCCTATTAGCAGTATATGCTAGTAAGTAGTGATCAGTAAATTTACACTATTCGTATGTGGCAAGATGTCGATATGAATTACTTTAATATTTCCATAATTTGATATTGAAATTGTATATATAGTTCTTTATTGAGATATATCGTGTTGAACGAAGCTTGAGATAAACAAATGCATGCCTAATTTTATATTTGCTAAGAGGAAAGTAAGTACATTGTAATGTAGATTAAAAAGAAATCTGACGCCATTCTTATGATTAAGGTTGCAGGGAAAAGATTGGGGGGTTCAACACTGAACACACATGCTATAGAAATACATAAGCGCCGAAATAATTATAGTTTGCAGTTACAATTACATACCGAACACCGTTTTCACTTTTCGAGTTTACTCGTTGTCAAGGAGTCACGTTTGTTCACCCCGAGAATTTCGACAATCAAGGTTCTGATGCATCTACGTAACGTGGGTTTTCGCAGACGTTCTTCTAAGTGCGGCTTTATCAGACTGCGAACTAATTCTTTCAAAAAAGCGCGACGATTCAAGGCAGGGTTGGCTTCTCTCAAATTATATAAAATAGCGCTGTTCACTCCTGCCTGATCCGGCATCCCGAAAAAGAGGCGCATAGGCCATCGCTTGGTGATTCGGCTTGTGTAATGCTTACAGAGCTCGTCAAATGTGTCCGTTCCACCTTTTGTGGCGTTGTTAAAACCCACGATTTCTGGCTTCCTGATTTCTTCATTCATTCATACGGACGGTTTTGTGCAAGCTGGATAATAGCAAAACTACCTTATTTTTTTTTCGGAAAGTAGGAAAGTAACGTCATTCCATCGGCGTTGACGTACCGCACCGTGCCGGTAGCAGCTGGTTGTGTAAAAGTCGCTGGTATTTCGGACTTGTTTTTTCGTAATGTGCCAACCACTGCAAGGAATATTTGTCCTTCATTTCTTGAACAATTTTTATGGACATGAACCAGTTATCGCAGATGACGTTGCGTTGAGAATTGTGTATCTACTTAATCAATTTCTTGATGTAATAACTCGGCACGGTGTCTCATCTGGCTGTTTCTACCCTCCCAATATAAGGTTCAGCGTTTAGCATGTATGATGTTTGCACATTGTTGTAGGTGACAAATTTTATTCCGCGTTTATCCGGCTTATTAGCTATGTATACCCTCGTTCCGAAACGGCCACGAAATCCCAGAAGTCGTTTGTCGATCGTACAATTAGTAGATAGTAAATAATACGTCTTGCAATTTGCAATGAATGCATCCCACAGATATTTTATAGGGGCTAAAGCGTGTTCTGTTCTTCTTGCATTTCGTGTATTCTTGTCGTCAAACCGAAGATTTTGCAAAAGGTACTGGAATCGACGTTTCGGCATAACAGCTCGGTACAAATACCCGAACTCAGGGTTCCACAGATTCAACGACACCTTCTTCATAATTCCCATTAATTCTAGTTTATTTCTTTTCGCCGAACTTTTACGTAAACAATAGTTTTTATACGTTTTTACAATACAAGTGGGCATATTGTATGTTGCTTTCTGTTTTCCCACTAAACGTTTGAACGAGATCTCAGCCAATCAGGAAGCTAAGATTTTTGGAACTGCTCTACACTACCTTACCGTACTTTCTACGTGTTTCCCCCTTGCTTCTTTAGTCACTCGCCCCTCTCATTTGTGCTCCGTCCATATATTCTTACGTCCATGTTTTATTCCCCCCATTTGCGGATAAAATAAATAAGGTAAGTGAAGGTTAAAGTCAAAGAGGGCGTCACGAGTGTTCTTCTCTTACCATCATAAGCGAGCAGTGTCGGTAAGCGTAGGTAAGCTACCACCTTCAACACCCGCATGGTATTACCATCACGAGTATGTGAGCCACCAACGGCGACTGGTAGATGGCACCGCCATTGGGGTGTGTGGCGGGCCCGGGACGAAGTCCGGTCATCGACCACCAGGGGCGTAGCGCGCGATGAGTGCGATGCGTTCAGGACGGGGCAAACTGCGTTACCCCGTGTGTACATTACTGTACTTACCTGGAACGAAAAGACGACTAGTCGTAAAATGTTTTAAAAAACGGTTGAAAATTGAGGAGAAGATGGTGTGACCAATTCTAGAGCGCGCGTGGAAATCCGCTCCTTTTTTCTGTGATAATAAAGCAATAACTATAGATAAAGTGGTGAAACATATTTGACAATCCCCACAAGTGCTATGGCGCGTTCGGCCACGTGCGTGTTAGCAATATTTTATCCGACTCGTTCGCCTATTATTTATTTTTTATTAATGATAAATAAAACACTGTATCAATGTAATCACAGTACTTATTATTGAGCCTATTTGGCATATATAAACTTTCTTTGTTATAAAACTTAATAGACCGCGGTTTTGGTACTTCGTCGTTATTCTTCTTTTTCTTATAGAAATCGATCTAAGATAGAGATCGAACTAAGGTGTGATTGCGTGTTGCCCTAGCGGAGCGTCGCTTGCGGCGTTTGCCTGAACTGCGTATATAGGTACTGTTGTCCTACCTGCTGACACCACAGTGCGCGAGCCCCTACCAGAAATTCGTTGCGTCGCCTTTGGGCCGGGGGGGGCAAAAACAGTGAAAGCTAACGTACGAAACCAGAGGGCAGCACAGGATGCGATCGTGCAACTCTGCCTGTAAGCAGGGCATCTCTGTCGTAAGCAATCTCCCAACTCATCTCGGGTCTGCTAAGCGACAAGGAGCTTACTGAGAACTGCTGAGAACGGCGGAATCTCAGATAAAACCCCTCTCTGCTGATCTGTGTTACTCCGGTTGAAGTGGAAACACTTTTGAAGCATGCATATCTTTGTATTTCGTTGTGTACTGACATGATAGTCAAATCAGTTGTTGAAATAATCATTTACATGCATAGTCAATAATTGGGTAAAGGATAGAAAGGCAGATATATCTTAAAAAGTATTTTTTTCAACAAAGTTTGTATTATTAATTTATTTAAAGCTTTTAATTTTATACTACAAAAGAAATAGTGACACATCTAATGAACTTAAGTAGTTTAACGTAAATAATTTAAAGAGCATGTTGTATTTTGAGATGTCGCTGTCCAACCAGATGTGTCAATTTTTATAATTTAAAGGAAGTTCGGTTAACCTATCAGAATGTTTGGTACATTGCGTAACAAATTTCAAACTGTCCAAGAAGGTTTATCAGCTAGGTAATCATTCATCGGATGAAGCAGGGGATTATACACACTGAATATGTTTTTTATACAACACACATTTGTCATTTAATCTGTTGCAGTATACGTGGCTTAACGACATCCGAAAGTTCAAAACCTAAGAAGAAAGCAAATGTACGAAATATTAACTATGGTGCAGGAGCAGATATTCTGCATTATTTTCAGTTACAATGGAACGAATTGCATGAACTCGCTGAATTAAATGCTGAAAAGGCTCAGGAAGCAGATACACTTATTACAAACATATATGAAAGACTGCAAGAAGAGTGGAATGGTGTTTCTTGCCTGAATAGCTCTATAGCTTCCATACCAAAAATAAACAATGAAATTCAAATATTAATGGACCAAATTGGTACATTACTTATTATATGCAATCTTATAAATTCAGTAGGTTATATAAAAGCATAATCGCTTCTCTGTATAGTAATCGTTTCATGATAACATATTTGCAGGATCTTTGCAAGAATTATTTGAGGAAGTTGAAGGAGCAATGTTTAAATTGGAAGATTTAAATGAAATATTGGATTTACAAAGTCGACAACTAGATCATAGATTTCAATTGGCTTTGTATAAAGAAAAGAAATTATCTGAATTAGACTCTGTGAGAGGTACTCAACAGAATTGTTCTATTGGTTTTTCGATGATACTTTTGTCTCCAGTTTGAACATTTTTCCCCCTAAATTATATTGTGAATTTGCTTATTTTTCAGCTAAGTTGGCTGAGGAACATTCCAATAAAGTACTGCAACATGAAATAAAACAACAGAAAACATTACGAGAAAGACAAGAGACATTTGAAGAAGCTTTTAAACAAGAACTGGAAGAATATAAAAATACAGGGTGCCTTCTCAGTACGTTAGCTATCTTTAATAAAATTTCAACTTATTAATGAACTTGAGCATCATATAGATTATTGATACAGCTGTAACTTCTATAATTTAGGTTGCAAAAAATTATGTAATTTATAGTTATATTAGTTAGGAAAAAAAGTGTCTGTTTCGTTTGTTTGTAGAATTACCTGCGCTCCAGCAAGGACCATCTCTGGACGAGATCGAATTAGAAACGAATTCAGCGGACTTTCATGAATTTTTAGACAATTAAAGGCGAGTCTAATCTTGATTTTTTAATACAAAAAGTTATATTGTACATGGAATAAGAACTATATAAAATGAACTTAGAACTATCTTTGCAAATAGTGTCTGAATTGTTAACAGCAATTTATATTGTGACTCATTCTTGTATTTAATTCCATCTTGACTTTGAGGTAACGTGAATCTGGTGAATTTATGTTGAGAACATGGTTTTATATACAGGTCTAGAAATTCCATCAAATTTTGTTGCGGCAGTCTGTATTTGTAGCCATCGGGGGAGTTTGCAGTCTATATAGGTATTCTAAATATAATTTCAAGTTAACATTTATCGTAATCGGTAAAGAAACAAAATTTAATGAAACAACTCATAATTCTGGAAAATAAAAGTTTTAAAATCAATAGGTCAAGACTAAAGTGGCAAGCAATAAAATTCCAGGTGATTGATTATACTTGAGGTTTTTTCAATTAAATAATAACTCAATCAGGGGAGTAACACTGCCATGATTGGGATGTAACGCTTATGTACTACCGCCATTTTCGGTTGGAGTAAACCTTTTTCGTGAACTAAATTATTTGGCGGGCTATTCAAATTCATTTATTAAACGAAGGGATATTTTCGGGATTTAAGAAGTACTTGCAATAATTAAAACAGACGCTTAAACTGACACACACAAATGTAAGAAAACAGTATATTAAACATAAAAGAAGTAACAAAAGTGTCAGTGACGCAACGCCTGTTATAAATCACTGTAAGAACTGAAATAATTACATTAAATATTAGTTAAAAAGTAAAATATATATTAAGATAAAAATATTAATTATTATGAGTGTATAAATATTCGTTATATAATTTCTATACAAATTTAATTTCTGTTATAATTAGTTTCATGGATTAAATGCGATCTATAGATCGCATTTAATCTATTTAATTATTACAATTATTATACTAAGAAACTACAAACTGTTCTTGGTTTACACTTTTACTCACAAACTCACGTTCGCGATTTAATATCCGAGGTAAATGAAACTTGTAAAAATATTGCCACTAATCGAGGTTAGGTTCACTTGGGTTCACTTGACTCGACTATTTTCATGCGTATCTACGCTGCGCCTCCTGGAGTCTCTTGCTATTGGTTAGAATATTTTTTTCTCTGCTGCTCTCTTTCTATTAGAGTGAGAAGTCACAGCACTAGCGCAGTCTTTGCTTGGAGTAGGTGAACTAACTTCCGCGTAACATTCCTCCCTAAGGAGTGTCATCATCCTGCTTTCAATGCACTTCGAAGTTCTAGTTAAAAAGTACGAAATATTATTACAAAATATTAATTATGTAGTTTTATTTACTTTCAGTCAAACATATTTAAGTATAACTTCACGGTAATTCCACGTGATTTGGCGTAGAGCAGAGCTGAGCAGGGCCTATATTTCATCAATCCAACGGCGTCATTCGACGAACGAATGAGAGATTTTGATTTGCCGCAGAAAATGTACACCGGCATTCATCAATGGTTTCCTCGCGGACCTAGTGCCCTCTCTGGCCGCACGGTAGTAGCGGCGGGAGCAGCGCGGAATTTGAATCGCCCAAGGGGCAGAATTCCTGAAGGTGTAGAACGTAAATATATAAGAGACATGAAATCATGATTCCGCTTCAATGTCCGAAAGCGCATGCATTGTAACTTTTCCATTTTTCCAACATTTCACTGTATAAATATTAATTAACTATTTTTCTTAAGCTAAGATAATATTCTAACGTCGTTTCAGTGGATGAAACAATTGAATCGCTAAGAATCTTGTTAACATTTAATAAAACTTGTTTTAATATATTCTTTAAGAAATTCTGTTAATAATGTCAGGGACACTTCACAATAATATGTAAATAATTATCATTAATTGTTTTTGTTTATAAACATTTTTTTTTCTTTAGAAAATCCATTCTGCCCTTGGTGATTCAAATTCCGCACTGCTCCCGCCGCTAGTACATTGCGAGGCCGGAGAGGGCAATAGGTCCGCGAGGAAACCATCGATGAATGCCGGTGTATGTACATACATACATACTACACTTTTCTTGAAAGTTGCAAAAGTGTCGTTGTAGTGAGATTTTTTTTTTTTTGGGGGAGGTTCACTTCGCTTTAGATTGTTGGCCCCCGTGTATTATGTTATCTCGATCGAATTAAATATATATGAAATTCACTCCCGTTTGGAGCATGATTCGGGCCTGCACCACGGTTTATTAAATTGGTCTCGCCTTTCGAGTTGTCAATACCTGATAAAATACGAGTAGCCTGCAATCCATATCTATATGGTCAAAGGAGCAAACCGCAAATTTGAAGCAGATGACTTACCAATCAGGAGGCTGAAAAATGAACACAACAATATGACCGTCCTTCCCCTCCCCTTTCGACGCGCCGGCTATCCCCCCTGATGAGAATTTGGGCTCCATCCCATATATTCTTACGTCCATGGTTGGATGTGGTTTGAGGCAGAATGGCGGGAGTAGGTGTTCTGAAACACAGGGATGTCCCGTTTTGTATTTGCAGCATGGTGATTCCTTCTCTGTTACTATTTTCCGATGTTAAATCATGGACGAAGGTGAATATCTCTGATTTGACTTAAATTATCGAATACTATGAGATTATATAAAGCTGGTTTGGCGATGGATGAAAGAAATTAAAGTTGTGAAATTGTAAGACACCTAATTGTTGTATTTTAGGTTAGACAATGAACCTACAAGTGTAGAGGAAAAGCTTCGCCAACTTTTACTTTGAATAAATAGTACATTAGTTCTTGAGTAATCACTACATGGATTCAGTGGTTGAGTCATTCCCCAAAAGGATTCAGACATTAAATAACATGGGATTGGAAGTGAATGAATGTGTTCGAGAGTTTAATTTGCCTCAACAGTTTCCCAGTCAAATCACAGTAAACAAGTCAATTCTTAATAAGACTGGTACCGAAATGAATACATCCAGTCCATTATCAGTAAAATTTCTTTTGGGTAATGATACGAATGTTTCGAGTAAGTTGCAAAAATTGAAACTGAAATCAGCAGATGGACGAGATCTGGGAGAATTTAATGTGCAGCTATTATCACAGCCAGGTAATAAGTTATCAGGAAAAACCATAACAATTGCTAAACAGTCAAATAAGGTGAGTGTTTTTTCTGTTTTGAAATCACAAAATGCTATTAGAAAGGAACCAAATACAGTAGAATTATCAAGTAGGAATCAGTGTCCTATGAAGGTACCATCGTCTCATGGTATTGTATCTGCACCACGATTAATCGAAACCGAAATTAGTTTGCATAATATTGAATCAGATTCTAATTACCGAGGTAAAATATCTCAACCGAAAAAATTAGTTATTATACAACCTGAAAATTCATGCCAACCATCTAATGGAGAAAATGGTGGCTCTGTACATTTGAATGAATTAAAATCTAATGAAACCCGAAACACGACATTTCAATTTAATATTCAGCGTAAAAATTTGAGTTGCGTGCCAGTTGGCATTTCTGTGCCATTGGATACAAAAGGTGTCGAAGATAAGTTGTGGGAAAATGTGAGTAAGCAAAGTAATTCAATTATTAAAAATAAAACAGAAGGAATAATTAAAATGGAAATTTCTGATGAAGGTGAAGTTATCTCCAATGAAATACATGCAAAAAGTAGTATATTGAATTATGGAAAGAGAACAAGTGATTCCAAAAGTAGTGTAAGTATCCATAATGACGGAACCGAACAGAGCTTTAATCGTGTAAATAAAAGAAGTTACAATCATGAAAATCATTATAATAAAACTGTTGCATTAACAAGACCTTCGAAAGTCCAAAAGATTATGCTTCCACTAAGAACAACTAAAATAAGTAAGACTGCAGAAAAGCAAATTGAAACATGTACATTGATTGAAGAAAATGAGGGAAATTCAACAAATTTGACAGACAATTTAAGTATTGTTGAGGAAGCTCTAAGTAGTATTAAGAATAAAGAACTTCGTGAAAAGGCTTTTAAAGCTCTGGCAGATTGCGGAATAGGTATAGAAAGACAAGTGCCGTTACGGCCACCATCGCCATCCATTGTTGTACGCAATTCACAGACACAGACACAAGTATTTGGACTTTTGGATCAGGAAGATTTTATAGCAATTGCAGGAGACTCTGGAAATCTTAAGAGAATGAAGAAGAAAGATAGAGACAATCGGGAGCTATCAAATATTAATTTTAATTGTGATGATTTTCTATATTGTGATCAAAGTAATCCAAATTTACCATCTCTGACTGAAGAGCAAGATCTGTATGCCTTATTCAACAAGGAATTTGGAAATAAAGCTTCTACAATTCCGGAACCCCTTTTGGAAGAACCTCTTGTATCATTTGAACAAAAAGTATATAATAAATTGAAAGTAGATTTTGCAATGATGAAACAGGCAGATGAAAATGGCATGTTGGGCATTCACAGAGCAGTTTTGAACAATGACGAGCAGGAAGTTCATCGACAGCTATTAATGCTAAAAGCTTGCAATGAAGATCCTGACATACCTTCTACAGATGGACGGGTATGTATTTTTATCTAACATATTTCAGCCAATTGTGTACATTTTACATGTTTATTATTATTATCTGTTCTATGTATGCACTCAAAGTTGTTATCACTTCACGAATTACTCAGCAGATGAGAGAATGATTTTGTAAATATTAACATATGTGGGTTGATGTAAAACGACTAATAGTAGGACTTTAAAAGATGTTTGTGACAGATAATCTTCATATCCTAATGTTATTGAATGCTTTTCTGTTTAATAGTTTTAAAATTCAAAGGTGTTCTATCTGATCCCTCGTTTCCATTGTAGGAACCAATCATGTTTTTGGTTTATTCTTTACCAATTCTGTAAAGCAATACTCGGTAACACATTTTCTTATTAGTTTTTGTTTGCCCGTTGAGTAAAAGATACCGTGGCAGAAAGTTTTGATCAAAATATATCAGCTATATCTACTTAATGTCTGATATTTTTAAACATATTTTAGATGATCACATAATTCTCAATTGTTTGTAGTTGTTTGTAGTGACCTTGTTTTCGTTTGTAGCTCAAACTGAAAGAATACAGAAATTAAAGAAAACGTCTGTCTATCATTTTCAAATAATTAAAAATTTGGAACAGATTCACACTTAGAATCGTTTGTAGTAGTTTCATTTTCTTTTGTAGCTCGAAGAAAAAAAAATACAGTCATTTCCAAATCTGACTTTGACATGATTTATCTATTTTTAAACTATTTCAGTTTGTACCACAATAGCTAAAAGATATCTATAAGATGACAAATTTTCCAAAAAGTCATCCGTTGATTATAACATATAGTCGACAAAAAGAAAACGAAAAGACGTCTTATGCACCAGATTTTAGCATCTTTCAGTCGAGGCTAAAAAATGACGATTTGACACCTTTTAGTCGAAATTAAAAAATAACAAAATGTAAACATCTTTTTGTGAGCATATATTTAATGCTTTTTCGTCAACTTCAAAAGTTTAGTTTTCAATAATTTCTCTTGTCTGTCACCTCGTCTCTAGGGTGGGATGGTTACTTTTTGATGCGGAGCATGTAGATTGTGGGGAGGATTGGGTAGGTGTAATACGTCATGTAATATATGTGATTTTCTATGTGTATATTACAATGTATAATATATGCCTAATTTTTTATGCGAGCATGAAGTATATTACGCCCTATTTCTAAACAGAAAATAATAAATCCAGTTATAAATTTGATATTAAACCATGTTAAGTCAAACGAATTTTTAACAAACGCCAAATGCATTTCTTAAAAGTTTGTCTGGTTTACATATGCGCTACAAGATGTTTATAACATAGTAAATACATATATCATGCATTTGCGGCAACCACCGTATTGCAAACGTAAAATTCCAAACAATTTTGAACACAAGTGCCAAATTAATTTATTATTCTTTAAAAATATTTCCGTGTTTACATGTGTGCTAAAAGACGTTTATGATCTAGCGGATGCTGTATATTGTGAATGTACTGTATTTCTTATATTGGAAACGTAATTCACTGGTTTTCTACGATTCTCTACGGTAAACTACTTGGTTTACTTAATACACGCCAAAACGTCGAGAAACGCGAAATTACCCAATCGTCATTGTGGGCATTTAAAACACTGGAAAGCAGAGAGTATTAGATAGAGTGGTAGGTTCCGTAAGGCCGCAACGTGCTTTTGCGTATACGGTTTTCAGCGCCATCTCCTCAGAAATAAGAACTAAATACGCCCACTACTTTGCAGAATTTTCACCCCGGCAAATTTGAATGGATAAATGTAAACGTCAATTGAAATAGACATGAAGGATTAAGAAACCCGTACCGTTAAGTGACGCAAAAAAATGTTGAAATTAAACTTGAAAACAATATTATTTAGCGAGCACCCAAAGTGTACTCGTAGAATTTATAATTATTATTGTAATGTTCGCCAAATAATACTGTTTTCAAATTTAATTTCTACTTTTTTTTTTGCGTCATTCAACGGCACAAGTTTCTTAACCCTCGTTTTTAAGTTTAATTTCTAATTTTTTATGAGGTTAGGTGTAATGTTTAATTTTTTTTTAAATATTAATGCGCACAATTAGCAAAAAAACAATGCGTGACAAATTAAAAAGAAATTGTACAGTCACGGCGTTCTCATTTCCAATTACTTTCTCTTGAACAACAACAACATATGTCAAGGTCAAGGTCATCGGGGGTGGATCCCCTAAATGTAACATTTACCCAATAAACATTGTTACCTTGTTTTTCTGAAAATCAAGAACTCGTGCGAAACTAGTTCCGATAGTTTAAAAGTATTATTATTCGAATACACTATTGTATTATACGCGTTGAATTCGTCTTGATTCATACATTAATGGGATTACATAGAAGATACCTAGTTTCACTTCAACAACATTGACGATCTGGATAACTCTGGAAAAAATGACACTGGAGTAGAAGTCTTTCGTGCTTAAAATGTGGTCTGCAATACCCTCCAACTTTTGTTAAGACATTTTTACTTCCTTCAAATCCAAGTCAGAAATTGAGGTGTTCGGTTTTCAGTGGACCACTCGGTATATTTCCTTTTGATCATTAAGTATCAATTCTAGTGGCATTCATGGTTTTGTGTTCTGCATATTGAACATAAAAACTTCATCGTGATTAGAATATTGTAGTTTGTAGTGGTCTGCACCGACCCTATGGTAAGGAATAATTGCAGCCTTCAAGGGTTCGAGCCTCACGATTCCTGAGATTTGAATTTAATTTAACTATAATATTCGAAGACGTGAGACTAGCGAGAGAGCGAGGAGAGCGTTCGCGAACGATCAGCTGAACGTGTCAATATTTGGGGACTTGGGGGGCCTACCGACCGAATCCGGTTTGAGTGAGTTTTTCTATTGACAGGTGTTCCGGAGTCGAACCGTTTAAAGCAAGTTGGCAATTTAATTTTCTGTGAATTTTCCTTAGTTTTTGGACCGCTTTAATTAAATTAGGCGCAATCCTATTCCAATTAAAGGCGCTTCCTTTTCTTATGTCACGAATTGCCTGAAGGGAAAGGATGGGAGATAGATTTTCAGTTAGAGCGGCTTATTCCGTCAGCGGTGCCCTCTTTCGATTCATCATAGAATCGATAGGATTTGAGAATAACGGAAGTTTGGTAATCGGATGTGATTTGGAAAGTGTTAATATTATGGGCAATTAGTGCCTATTTCCGCGACTATGTTTCTTGTCCTCTTTTTTTTTTAAGTCGAGATCCGAATTTTGTTCGGCCAAAGGGTTAGCCGAGACACTGAAATTAAGTTAAGGTTCCCTTTTTTGATCCTTGTTGTCAGAATTCTAACCCTACTGTGGATGCGGCTGATCAGCCTAAACTGAATCTATTCCTACTGATTAAATTTTATCATCGGGTCGCGGACTACTTAGTTCCGTGAGTCTATGACTTTTCCCGGAGCTAAGCTCTACGGGGGTTAGTATGACCCATTCTAACTTAGCCAGCCGCGGAGATTAGCTGGTGAAGGATTTATTAGGATTGATGGCGACGGGGTCTGCTGCAATGCAGGACCAGCGGGGAGTTGGTAGGACTTTCGGTTAGGGATGTGGAACGACAAGCAGGTGGGATGGCGGCTTTGCCAGGCCCACTGGAATCAGGTCCTGAAAGATAATCTCATCAAGTTTAAGACGATCAGCCCGGGATCTCGCTCTAATGCTGAATCAGAGCGGCATTGCTCGGTCATCAGCGCCTTTACACGAGTCTCGATCTGAACGCGTTACACGTATTCGTCCCGATGCCCATCGTTCGATCAAGCTGCGAATCCGTGAGGCACAAATTTCCGTGTTAATCCTTTTCGATCTATTCCTTACCACAGTTGAGAATCGAGAGGAGCGTCTGTCTTTGCACTCCGCGCTTGCGAGCCGCGATTCCCCCTCCTGAGGCCCCTCTACTCTCCTCGCGATGTCGCCGTGCATGCCCTAAGTGCTCCGATTTAATGACGATTGTCCACTGCGCACGCTCGCACTTGGACCCGTTACAACTTTAAAAAATCATTTAATTTCAAGTGATAATTGTAATGATAGTTTTACCGAAGCTATTATATATTTATCTTGTATCATTTTCAGTCAAGTTACAAACTTATAATTATATTTACGTGATACGTTTTATTATCTGTTTCAGTCAAGTTTAGAAGTGGCGATCGAATACGATGTCAATAAAGCAATAATTCAATTGTTACTGAGAGCTGGGGCTCAACCTGTTAGTTTAACAGGTGCTAACACTTCAGCATTATTACTTGCCTGCAAATTATGTTCTCCACGACTAACGGATCTCATATCGTTTTGTCCGCGCGAAGCACTTAACGTTATTGATACAGCAGGTAATTACAGTGTACATTATGTTATAATTCACTGTTTACATTATAACGTGATAATTATTCTTGACCTATGAACATATGTAATTCCTTTGAACCAGGATTGGTTTGAGGATTAGTTTTGTATTGCTTTTTTAAATAATTTGATATAGCATGTATTCAGTTACTAACAAAATATATAACAGAAAACATACAATATTTGGTGAAACGAGACCGATCGCGCCCTTGAGTGCACATGTTTTGTTGGTAGAAATTATTTACATATATTAAATGAACTGATTAAGGTATTTATTTTACTTATGTTATAGGTTTCGCAGCTATTCATTACTGTACACAGAATAACAATGTGGAGGGAATAACAGCATTGGTTGAAGCCGGTGCCGATGTCAATATACGGGACCGCAAATCCGGCAGAACATCGTTGTTTCATGCGATGGAACATCAAAATGTGGAAGCTGCAAAAGTACTTTTATCTCTTGGTGCTATTTCTAACGTTGTGAATTTCAGTGGCCAAACCGCATTAAGTTTATTGGAGAATTTCAAAAATCATTCATTAGCTAAAGCTATGGATGAAGCTATTGTGTAATATCTGTCTAAATGAATTCAGCTATAATGTGATTACGTTCATGTAGAATGTATAAGGTTATTTCCTTAATACCGGGAGTTTAATATTAGGAAATATATGGAATAAATTGCAATTACACGTGATTGTAGTCTTCATTTAAGACTTGTATGATTTTCGTGATGAACCATATTAGTCGGTAATTTTTCGTGCGTGTAGCGCGTGTCCGATCCTAAATCGGGTGACATAACAAGTCAGCTATACCTATACTAGCTGTATACGAAACATACACGTATATTGCAGAATTAATTTATACGTATTAATTACATAGTCTTCAAGAAAATGCTGATTGGTCGGTTTTTTAGAGCGGCGTAACTCGGAAAGTACGCGGCGTAGGAGAAAACGGAAAAGGAAGTTTCGCGTCCAAACGACGTCCGCCGTCGATCCCCCCGGGTCCCAATTTCCGGTACCTGAACGGACAGGGTCGGTTCAGGTAGGGGGCGTTCACGATCGGCGCGATGGATAGGGGACCGGATTCCGCGACGAAACTTTCTTTACCATTTTTCTTTACGACCCGTGGTACCGGAGATACAGTGGAAATAAAAATGCTGCGCTCTGATTGGTCGGTTATTTGGAGGGCCGTAACTCGGAAAGTACGCGGCGTAGGAGAAAACGGAAAAGGAAGTTTCGCTTCCAAATGATGTCCTCCGTCGATCTCCCCGGGTCTCAACATCCTGTACCTGAACGGACAGGTAATTCATCCTAACCCGTGGTAACCTGTTGTAATCTATGTTAACTTAATGGTAACCTATCGTAACCCGTTGTAACCCATTTCTAACCCACCGTAACCCATTATTAACTCATCGTAACCCATCGTAATCGATTCTAACTTAATCTCGGATCGATAACAGGGGTATATGGGTGAATCGAGTCAGTCCATCATGTGAACATTCCGAAATGATCGACGGGCAGGCTGGATGATACTCGTACAGCAGCTCTTATATATTCGAACAAGGCAGGTTAGGTAGCGTTAGAATGGAAAAAGTCCGGTTAGGATAGGGATTTTTTCGTTTAAGGCAGGTTAGGATAG